GACGTTTAGAAAATACTGAACGTGGACTACGAAATTTTAACTGGCTACAGGAATCATCGACCAAAATGTGTTTGCACGAATGCATCAACGCATATTTCGCATCTGCAAAGACCGCTTAGATTCCAGAATGTTCATGGAACGTTTTCGGCTGGAAGACTCGCTGAAAGTTTCGTCCGCTTTGAGTGATTCAACGTTTTCCACAATTCGCGATTTTTTATTACATCGGGCAATGTGTTCACAGTTGGTGTAGTTAATTAACCTTGAGGATTTACTCACTTAAACAAATCACCATGGGAGATTATTTTCAGAAATATAGGAATATATACATTGTATATAGACATTGTGCAGTATAAAGTGGCAAGCCTGAAAATGCCGTAGATTTTGAGCAATCAATCCCATTGGGCGAATACTGAGTGGCTAGTCCCATGTGGACATCTTGTTTGGAATATTCAAGAGGCGGCCCGACGTATGCCCCATAAGGTATGTTGGGAGCCGCGCGAGTAATACGCGAAAAGGTGCGCAGAAGCATCCGTAGAAACCCGGATGCATTTTGGGCCGATTCCCCACGATGCAGTGAGAAAGACATGTTTGAAGAGAACCAGATACCCAAATCCTATTTGACATCTATCACGAAGTTTTCTGATCGTTTCTCACGATGCATGGCAAAGTCCTTCACCGAGTCTCTTCAAAACGACATATGGGCGTACTGTTCGTCATTCAGACGAAGGTGCCAGTCCAACGGCCACTGCTTGGCAGCGTCTAAATTCATTTGGAGGACACTGGCATTGGAGCTTTAGGATTTCAAGTCGTCCGCAAAAGGTAGACATGGACTTGCAAAAACAGCTGGAAGGTCGCTGACGTAGATCAGTAACAGCATTGGTCCAAGGACGGTGCTTGAGGAACCCCAATGGAGATCGGGCCTGAGAAGAGTAGGCCGAAATTATTCTTACTTGGAATGATCTGCCTGATAGAGACGCCTTGACCCAGTGTAGCATGTCCCTTGAATCCCGTATGATTCGAGTTTGTAGACGTGTAGGAGCCTATCAAATGCTTTTGAGAAATCGAAAAATGTGGAATCTGATATGAGTCCTTCGTCCTTGGCTTGGGCTAGGCTGTCTGTAACCACGAGCCTACTTGTCACGCAAGAACGGTTTGGGAGACTTCCATGTTGAGCTGGAGTGTGAAGTTGTTAGAAGTAAATTGCTTCCGAATGCGTCCCATCACCCTGTACGGCACCCTGGTGAGGCTTATAGGCATGTAGCCCCCAGGTAATAGTCGGTCACCAGTTTTGTAGATTGGCGTGAGAATCGTTACCCTCTAAACAGAGGGAAGGCGGCTTTCGCCCAGCGACTGACAAAAATCAAGTATAATGATTTACCGGTGTGGACGACGTTTCTCACAGGATGCTTGGGTGGACCTCGTCAGGACGCAACGCGCAGATTGGGTTGATGTGCAAGAGTTGACGAATGTCCTTCACCGTGAACACCAAGTCGGTTAGAGGCTGACCGCAGAATGGATCGCAAGAACGGATGTGATTAGGACGCTGGGGCTGTATATAGACCTGCATAGTGTTCTCTGTAAAACTCAGATACAAGTGTTTGGTCACTCTCGGGTTCTCCATTCTTGCCCCACAAGGAGAACGCGGACGGCTTGTTTCTGCTGCGGTGTATCAGGTGGCTAAACAGCGCACTTCTGTTTTTCCAGAACGGTGGCTTGTCTTTGTAAGTTCCATTAGCGGGTTTCTGATTTACAGCGGTTCCGCATTTTACGAAATTACAGCTCGTTTTCTGCGTCTGCTGCAATCAACGTTTTGGAAAAGTTGAAACCTCTTTTCCGGAAGACACCGAATCCTTTTAGATAGCTTGCGGCTCACACGACTACGTGCTGGTTTCAATCGGGACATACATCGTGTCAGCCACGTGAAAATTCTGGACAATGGCCCCATATGAGTCTTCCACTGAAGCTAGTCCCAGTTTGACTTGTTCGAGAAAGATGCGCTTTCCTGAAAAGTCTGCACGGCAGATGATTCGAATCCACTTTTGAGGTTCAGGGTTTCTAGCCCAGTAGCAAATCAAATGAAATGTTAACGCACACTAGTCGTTACGCCCCAGTGGAGCAGTAGTTATCACATGATCATCGAAGCTTTCCTTGATAACGGCCAAGTCCGGGAGGGCTGGTAGCTGATGATATCTGGTGGGTGCAACGACATACTGAGTCCAAGCGGTCTGTTGACCTACTTCCACCTACTACCATCCAGGAGGCATTTGGCGCGTTGAATTCACCTGCCAGAGGAGATGAGTGATTTGGCAGCTGAAAAAGAGCTGCTCAGGTGTTCTAATGAGGAATCGGTCTTTTTCATGTGGACTCGAGGAGATACAATAGACCACGCCGAGAAGGTACGAATCAAACATACCGCGAGATTAGGATCCACGGCGCACAGCAAAAGGGTGCAGGAGTGGTATCGGGGAGGATGGTCGTGATGGGCAATGCCGCATGTGAGCGCGCAGCAACCTCACCAGCTCTTCCTTGTTTGATTCAGTTCGTGGAACGGAGTCAGCGTCTATCGAGACTTTCACATCAGAGATGCCTGATAAAAGCCATGTCACTGTGAGTGCGATTATGGATGACTGTTCAAGGAAAACTGACTGTTTAATTTAGCGAATTTGTTGAGCCTGAGGCGGTTTGTGGGCAGGCATTTCATCACTGTCCGTGCTTTCTCCGAAGATGGTGGGCACAGGGTTGTACGGCCATAGAGGCTAGCTGACTTAATTGTTGTACGTCGTGTTTGAGTCGAAAGCTCCAAGGGGGCCTCTGAGGTACACTCGTCTGCTTCCAGTCTTGATGGTTTCGAGGACTGCTTTTCATTCACAGGTTTTTTCGCCCCGTGTTAGCTCGGTTCGTGCAGGCGTCTTACATTTGCGGGACGAAGTTTTTTGCTTGTGTACTAATTGTAACTCTTTCAGTATCAAATTTTGGACGACCAGATTTTCAGTTGATCAAGGACTTGGGGCATCCGTGAGTCTGTTGAGTTTCTTAGGCATTTTGGCACGGTGTGGTTGGAAATGTTTCTGTAAGGCTCTTAGCGCTAGATGGCAGCATCAAGAAGTAATTCTTTTGGTAGTGCTCCAATGAGGCTCGTTTTCGCAAAGGATTGTACCGTGAAGGCAGCGAGCGGTTTTGTCATTTAGCGAATCCTATGTGGCTTGTTTGGCCGCCATCTTCTTTTGGTGTTTGTATGGACACCCGAGTCACCCGCGATCAGCATGGCCAACTGGTCGTATGAGGGATTTTCCGGTTAGCTATGGTCAGGTTTGTGGCTAAGGCTGTCGGGTTTCTGGGCTACCGCCGTGCCAACATTCAAAGAGGCCACTTGTAACGGAGTGGGGATGGAGCGTGGCAAATTCACATTGTCAATTTTCGTACGGTTTCCGCAACATTCCCCGATGCCGAGGTCAAGACATGTGATTGGTTCGTCGGTAGGCTTCGCTGCTTGTGTCCGCATATCTGACCAAATCCAGCTCAGAGGTTGTGAATTGGGCGTGCAGTTCACTACTGCACCTTTGTCTTCTGCTACAGAAAGAAGCGCTGATAGCTCTACGTACTTTGAGTGCTGCTTCCAAGTGAGGCTTGCCTCCTCCAGAGCATTGCAACTTTTGGAATTCGAAGGGTCCGCATTGGTTGAATAGAAATCTGCTCTCCAGAGACGCGTCCGGTTACGTTGGCGTGATTTCAGGAGCACAAGGGGCTATGAATATTATTGGTTTGGCCATAGTTTTGGGGTCAGCCGGAATGGCGCCAAGCGGAAGTCTGTTTTGGGCATTTCCCCTGGAACTGCTATGGCCCAGCTTTTGCACTCTACAGGGCGATCCTCAGACATACACCCGGTCTCTGTGAAGGCCTTTTGTATGCTGACGGCCCGTTCCAAGATATTCTGTACGGCAGATGGGGAAGAAAAGGTGATTAGAAGCCCAAGTGTTCTCCTGCTTTTCTTCTGGCGTAACCAGTCTGCTGGAGGCGATTCGTGGTCAGGCTTTGTGAGGACGCTAACAAGGAGCGATTGTGCGAACTCTGTTGAAGCGATTTTTCTGGAGAATGATCCCCAGGCAGTCAATGTACTCTCACTTAAGCGCCTGTCCATCAGAGACGCCGTGGAGGTCTTTATTGCCATATCGGAGGGCTGGATGACTTTCTTCGCAGCCAGCGGACCCTGGATAGATAGCGCGAGGTGCTCGTCCAGGGATGAAAGCTCTTTATCAACTTTCTTCCAGTCACTGCGTTCTTTGTGTTTGCATTCTCCAACAATTAAGAAAGACGCTCCAGTTTTGCGTCGAGTATAGCGATCAAAGCAGAACACTCACACCGGTCTTTCCGTTTCTGCAATGGGGATTCGGGTTCGTTTTTGGTGGCTCCTTAGTTGCAGCATATATTGCCCCCTTAATGTAAAGGCAGCTGGCGCAGACAAACGGATCAGAGTTAGCTAGTTTGCCTACCTGATCTTCCTGTAGACCCGTGAATTCAAAGTGCCACCGGGCGTTACAGGTATGACAGTGCATACCGCGTCTTACGCTCGAAGGACAGCCATTTCGCCCACACCTATTGTGGTCAATCGATGGCTGCAGATAGCAGTCTGTATTCTTTAGTGTCATGATTGAGACTGGGTGAAAAATGACAGAATTTATCAAGTAAATTTTATGGAGTGAAAAAATTCAACAAGTGACACGTATGTACCCTGCAGATAAATTAAACAATGAAAGAATTGTTTCACAAAGTTGAAAAGATGAAAAAATGAAACCAATTTCGAACGTACCACGCTTGAATAGAAATACAATCGAGGAACCAAGCCATATGATACATATGCACGCAACTCCGACGGATGACTCTCGTGAGTCATTCGGTTTGGCTGTCAGTTTGTTCTTTCTGCCCATTTTTGTCCTGTCATGGATAGGGTTTATTAACCAATCAGCTATCGAACATATTTGGGTCCGCCGCAAGCCCTTAAAATGTCATCAGCTTCTCAGGTCGATGGAGTGGCGCAGTTACAGCTGGCACGAACTGCAGCGCTGGCGAAAGTAGATGAGGCGCGGGCTAGTAAGTCTTATGTTTTTGTCTCCAGCACCAATAGGAAGAGCAAGAAGATTGAAAGCAGCAAAGGATGAAGCGAAGGCGGAAATCGACGTATATAAAATGGCCCAAGACAACCACTACCGAAGACTCGAGGAGCAGGTAATTGAAATTTATCAAGTGTTTAAATCCTTACAGATACAGGCACGGCAAGGAGACTTTGAGGAGTCCAGTCGTCGGGCAACTGAAGAGCAATTGGATATGATGAACAGGTCTTATGCGAAGAATAAGGAAGTTGCGCTGACAACACTTCTGTCAGCCATACTAAATGTGCAACCAAGAGTCCATGCGAACTTTTCGCGAATGCGCGAACAGTGAAGAAACTCTTCTGACGACGGTCTAATGAAAGCATAATACTTACCTTGCTGTTGCTCGCAGGGAAGCTTATCGACTTTGTTGATTTGAATTACTCGATCACTGACGTTATTAAAATTTTCCAATGAGCAGTGTAAGCCATTGCCACCACTAAATCTTGTTTATCTCACATGTTGGTCAGATGTTGGTAACTACGGGGAGTAGGCATCTGAACTCTCATCGTTTCACGATTTCCCCAAAGCCCACTGCATCCATATCGAATACTCGCCGATCAAGGATCAGGGTGTTTGTTTCCATCTGAATAAGCTTCCATCCACTTCGATTTGCCCGAAACGCTATTGAAAATAGAGCGTACCACCGTTATTTAAAGTTTCGGTGATGGTCAGCAAGTTGGCCGGCGCGAGGAATCATGTAAATACATCCAGAAGGGGTCTGCACCTACTCTTAGATTCGGCGTGTTACTGTCCGTAAAGGGTCGTTCCACGCGCCGGCTCTCTGAAATGGAAAAACCGTTTGATAAAAGTGCGCGTCCTAAGCTTGGGTGTTTTTACCATGTTCCCATTGTGTATTAATGGGAACAACGATGAGAAACCTGTTGACGAAACCTTGGTGAAACAGGACGCAAGTATATATCGAGTCCCCTCGGAGGTGGCGATGGTCTATGGGAGAGATTTCAATAGCTTCCAGGCGGACTTGAGGACTGAAGCCATCGTACCAGCTCGTTAGACACTCAGCGAAGCTTACGTTGCGTTCCGAGAGGACACTAGTTGGTGTATTCAAGAAATGTAGTCTGGACAGAGTTTCAGGAAGTTCATGAGAGTGAAAGTGCGCCGAAGGACAGCGGACCACTCTGTGGGCTCATTTTTCTTGATAGAGTGAGAAGATAGCATATGAACATCCTGATCAGCACTTTCCAGTTCAACAGTAGAGACACCATCCCGTATTCAGTCTGGAATGCTGTCCTAAGTGCGCTGAAGATACTTCCGTTGATGGTGCATTGCAAGTCCAATCAGGTCTAGTGTTGCTCAACACTCCGTAGTCCAGTATGAAATTTCGACGCCAGGTAAGTCATGTAAGGTTGTTTCCAAATCGCCCTATTGGATAAAAGGTTTCAGAATTCTAACCAACCAATGAGTCAGTCGACAGGACACTTTGGGATGGTAGATCCATCTCTTTGTGCTCTAATTCACTTTAGGGTGACCGGTTTTTGTCTCATAACTTCTGCTGCAGCCTTCAGTAGCCGTAGGAGCATAGAAGCTTAGCGTTTATTCGCGTCGAGTAATAACAAAGTTTGCTCAAGATACATAACTTTAACCCAACCCAGTCCGAATTGGAATTTTTGGCCGTTTTTTTACTATGATCGTAAACTGCAGGAGTCAGAGCCCGTCCTCAGAGATCCCCGTACAGATGCTTGAAAATATGACAACATCTGGCAAATAAAGGTAAACAGTAATATAGGTGGTGTGAGTTACGGGGGCGAGATGGATCAGTGGTCAGAACGCGAATTTACTGACCGGAGGATCCGTGGTTCAAACCCGACCTCTGATTCTCGAATTCCACCGTCTGGGCTTGTTCAACCTGGCAGTATCCCAGCCCTCGTGCTTCCTTCTGGTGGCATGGCAGCTAGGCACCGAAAGGGCGTTATGGCTGAAGGATTTTTTCATGAGCTACGGAAAACAGAAAATGTTGAGTGTTTACAAAGTAGACTGCTCTTGGCTGAAAGAAGAAAAGAGATAAGAGATCTGGTGCGAGTGGTTGAATGGGTGGAGGTCGGCTGTACGGCTGAAGACTAAAAGGTCGGGCAGAAGAAGCTGGTTGCGATCAGGACTTCCATCGCAGCAGCGGTGAAATAACGGAGGCTGCACGAGAAAGGGTATCGCTGAGACTCCTTCACGGAGATAGATTTGTGTACCTTACCCATTGAACTACGCCGGGATTGGTCAGTTTGACATCTGCAGATTGTCTCATAACGTTGGTCAGTGAATAGAAATCTGACGAACACAGTCCGTTGGAGTTGGAACATGAATGGCGAGTTGTTCCTTGAAATTCGCACTACTTTGGTCGTAAGCCAGCACCAGTTTGCTGTCTTGCGGTTAGACTTTTGTGCCAAATGCCCTGGCTAGTAACCTCATTGGTCCCGCTGTTGAGGTCAGCATCATCATCATCATCAACGACAGCATGACATCAGTGTTCAACACCAATGCTTCACTGCGCGCTCCAGCGCGCAACCATTAACCTCGACTGAGAATATACGCATGCCACGACAGCTATCACGTCGTGTATTTGCCTGTCAGCATCACATCATCAACGACAGCATGACATCAGTGTTCAACACCAATGCTTCACTGCGCGCTCCAGCGCGCAACCATTAACCTCGACTGAGAATATACGCATGCCACGACAGCTATCACGTCGTGTATTTGCCTCTTGCATGCAAACAAAATCATTCAGCCGTAGTGCCCTTTCGGTGCCTAACTGCCATGCCACCAGAAGGAAGCATGAGTGCTGGGATACTACCAGGTTGCCCAAGCCTAGACGGGGGAAATCGAGAGGTAGACGTTAGGTGGAACCACGGAACCTCCGGTCAGTAAATTCCCGCTCTAACTGAGCCGTTCCGCAGCTAACCAAGGAGAAGTTCAGAGACCGCGAAATCAAACAAGTTCTTCAGCCTGCTTTAACGCCTGCCTGCAGATCTGACATCAGGTATCCATCACTTGATCGAGATACCCAAAGTATTTGATGACAGAGACTCTGCTTGCGGCACGACTCACCCCTCCTCTTCCGTGTACCGAACCCCTAACGACTGTGGCGTTGTTTGAGGTCTGGTGACAGTTTTTTCTGGTGGTAAGCACAAGGCACCTCGACGAATCATCCGACGTTAGGTAAAACTGATTGTTCTCACGGACAGAAACCTAATGGACTGAATGTGAAAGAGGGGAAAAATGCTGGAAGTACCCAAAAATTATCCCGTCTGGTTGTTTCGACATGTTTCAGGAAACCTCATGTTAGTGAAACCACCAAGCACTATGAATCCTATTACCCAACAAAGAAGAAAGTCTAGAACGTTGGGAAGAATGCCCGGAACAAAAATTGTGTTCTTCATCTGCTACTTCCAATCCGTCCTGTTGGCCTTCGGTAGGGCTGCGATTGTGGACCTCCCATCAGCCTCATAAGGATCCAAGTGCACATCCCTACTCAAGGGTCATCGTGCTCCTGGTCCTGACGACCTTCCATCTGCTCTGTACAAAGACGGTGGTAAATCTCTCCGATAGTGCCTATTTGCGTCTATCTGGGTGGAAGACATTGTACAGACAGCTTGGATGAGTTGATAATAGTGCCCATATTTAAAAGTACTCGCAGCAATTCAGTGATCACAGAGGTGTTAGTTTGACTCCTGCCATGATCAGCTTTCTGCATCACTGATTCTTCGTCGTCCTACAACGGCGCGTGGAGCCAACCCGTGAACATCGAGCTGGATTTGGACCTGGTAGAGGTTGTATCGACCAGAACTTCACACTTTGTCAGATGTTAGAGCGGTGCCACTATCGTGGTTTTTCTTGACTTCAAAGGTGCGTCCGATCTGTCCATCATCAACAGAGGTAGGTCGTGAAATATTCGGACGGGGAACTCCGATTTCCCAATGACGGACTGGGAACATGTACTGTGCGAATAACCGTTTAATGACGAAGTGAAATTCGAGCTTAGTTGTGCGGACCGTTGTTTTCTAGCTGATTTTCTGCATTTTACAATCAAATTTAGCGTCTCAATGTAGGTTGGCTAAATTTGATTGCACTTGGCCAGAAAGACTCACACTACCCCTAGGTTTATTCGTAACGTTCTTCCACAGTTTCAAGTTTCTCTAGCGATGAACTTACAGGTAGCGTAGAAAATAGGCACCATTTCCCTCAGCAGAACATTGTGGGGTATTTCCGTCTCGAGTTATTCGACCACTGCTCGGTAAAGTTTGCTGTATGGAATATATGGGACCGTTTGTAGTGAGTACTGGTTCAGCCATCAGTCGTATATCGGCTATATCGCGGAATTTTCAGCCAGTAGCAATTAATACGGAGGTTAATGAAAATATCAACACAATTGCCTAAAAAACGACAATTTTTGTTGGTTGGTGAGTTTTGTCGCACAAAGTGGTAACAAGTATAAAGGTGCCAGCTAAACGCAAACGTGGTAGCAAGTCTGTTACAAATGTATGCAAATGTAATCTCATGACTCGGGGTGTTACTGCAAGCAAGCTAAGTTATGACCGCATGAGTACTCAGTCCGCGCGTACAAACAAAATGTCTGAGGAATCCGTAATGCAACGTCTGACCCAGCAGAAGTTTGTGAACGTAATCCGGTGCCTATACTCACATGTGTGTGTGCCAGTTCTTGATGAGTTATCCAAGAGCCTCGCTACAAAATGTGGCGTCCGACAAAGATGTTTGTTGTCCCCGTCCTTGTTCAGTTTGGTCCTCAAGGAAATAACGAGGTGGGCGCTGGAAGACTTTCAAAACCCCGTCACTTAAATTGCTACTGGTGGGAATGTCGTCGATCTGGTGAACGCAGACATCGCATTCATTTTTGAAAACGGAGGCGAAGCACGTCTCGTAGAGTAAACTGACCACCACCATAAAATCTTTCAGAATGCACTTGCACCTTCGAAGTGCATAGTCGTGCTTCAGGAAGTACAGTCTCTGGACGTACCCCTTACAATCCGAGGAAGTTGCGGAAAACTTCACTGACTAAAGTGTTTAATGAAGTCAGTACGATAATGTCAGTGACCCGATTTACGTTTGCTAGTTTGCACCACTTGTGGCGTAGTCCCATCATTGGCGTTTACCAGGTCACAATAGGGGCTGTATTGTCGCATAGTTTCAAGACGCGGCTTCTGCGAACACAGACATCTTCAGGTTTTTGAGCGTAGCTGGTGTCGGATGGCGTCAACGGCGACTAAATGAAGGGCATTTGGTTGTGGCGCAGTTACTTCAATCGTCGAAAATATCCAGCAACATAGACTACGGTGACTCGCTCATGTGTTACGCATACCGAATCATTGGCTACCAAGAAGCGTTTTTTGCGTACCTCTTTTAGGATGCCTCCAACCGCGAATAGGACAACGTGACTTGGGAGAAGGGATTACGAAAAGTCTGATGTTGAGGCGATAGACCTCCTAGGATGAGGTCCTCTTAACTCCTGTGTTCGGCTAGGGGTATTACAAATGTCAGATCGTCTGACTGGGCGCTTGGAGGTGTAGGCACCTCAGAATTCTTGAAATAGGTCAGCACCGGGTCCCTTTCATCACCCGCCCTTTTATCTTTTTTCATTCTAGAGCTTTAGCTATAATCAGGTGAACTTGAAGGTTGTACGGCAGGAGAGCATCAATGCCAATGTTGCTGTTTCCGGCTGGGATGATTTAAGTGGAATCAACAGAGAGAATACACCTATTTGTGAGTTAGTTTCGTGTTGGTGATATTCAACCTCTCGTTAATCTTATACGTCAAATTAATGAGCTGCACAAAAACATTACGATGAGAGATTCAGTTGAGCCCCTCGTTAAGACTAAGTTATCTTGCCAATGGGTGCATTTCGCCAGTTGCGTACAACTTGGTATTCAAGTAAGGTATAAGGATGACGGAAACTCGGCCATGTCTACTCAAACAGCTCTGAGGGCCGAGACCGTCCATGGGTTGTCATCGGCTTTCTGGAAAGCTAAGAGAAAACACTTGGGATGATTTTAACGCATGGCTGGGACGGTGCACTGGGTCTCATTGTGACTTAACTGCCGAAGCACTCGGGAGGAATATCGTATAAAGTGAAACATAGGGCGGTCTTTGTGCAGCACATTTAGCTTAAAAGTATGATTCAGCTGGGGTTCAGTTGTCTGCCGTTAAAACCAGCTTTGTTTGCAGTTAGTCCTAGTAAATAAACGCTCATGGTCTCACCACAACGTAGTAAGGGAGGCTACTTAGTTCTAGCAAAGATTCAAATGTCGAAGAAAGTCTCGATGTCTTCAGCGATTAAGACGGGTCAGCTGTAGCAGGCTTTCGGTGCCTAGCTGCCATGCAATTCGAAGAAAGCACGAGGGCCGAGATACTGCCAGGTTGCCCAAGCCTAGACAGGAACAGTCGAGATGCAGAGGTTGGGTTCGAACTACGGACTTTCCAGTTCGTGCGTCCGCGTCCCAACCACTCAGCCACTACTAGCTCAACGATAAAGATGAAAGGCTCGTCGCCGTGACAATGAAAACCAGTGGGTTCGAACACGGACTTTCCATTTCGTGCGTCCGCGTCCCAACCACTCAGCCACTACTAGCTCAACGATAAAGATGAAAGGCTCGTCGCCGTGACAATGAAAACCAGTTTAGTACAAAACATTTAACAAAAACTGTCCGAATAATGCACGGGTGAACACGAAATCCGGGTGTTCGTGATCCAGTTTCCATCCAACCAGGGACTGACATTGTCGATAACGAAACATTTGCGAACAAGATTGGCAGCCGCCTCGCCGATTGAGTAACTTCAGTCACAGCGTGCACCATACATAGGGTTTATTGTGATCGTATCCAACAATATACAAATTGCCGCACAATCCGAGGGCTCAGTTATCCTCCGTCCAAAATTAAATGTGTCAGATAGCTTGCGTGATGAAAGACCAGAGCACCTTCATATGGACCCCTTTTACCGTACCTCACATACTAGCTATGTGGAGAAAACACCCGAGTCCTCTATGACGATCATGATTTGGAATCGGAACTAAGAATACATCCCCGTGTTGACCTAGTTCCCCTAGCGTCAGTGCCAGTTGGCTCCTATTTTCTCGATCCTGGTGAAGCCCATTTGATTGCAACCTAAACCAGTGCACTCACTTCAAACGCGATGATAGAGAAGCAGCCGCCAACCTGCTATCATGTCCCAACTACACACTCAACACAACGGAACCATCGATGGGTTTCAGTCGGTTTCGTCAATTGTACCCGCCCATAAGCATTCGCTAACAGGTCGGAATTCCGTTTGTTCTGGTCAAGGTGGTTCGCCTGACTCACTCCCTGGTGACGAACAAATGAAAGGTGCATTGTAAAGCAATCAACTGTACCTAAGGTTCTGGCTTCAACCCGCGGGAAACGACATCAAGAACCTTTAGCACAATATGTGCACTTCCTAGCCGAAGTGCAATGGTCGAAAACCGTAGGTGATCCTCGGGTCTTGGGACATTTGAACTGTGAACGACTGCTACAAGCATTTCACAGTACGGCAGACTGGCGGAGCGAGGCCGTGTAAAAACAAACTGAAGACAGACGACAAGGAGCTTGGTGAAAGCTTTATTTAAAGCGGATGCCTTTGACCTATGAAAATCAGTGGTGTACAAAAGGTGTCACGATGGATACTGAGTGGAGTGGACTGGGGACGTATTCGAGGACGCATCTCTGCTAGAGGAAGAAGCGATAAGCTCGCGACGCATAATGCTTCGGGGATGCGATATATCTAGAAGGAAGCTTTGGCTCTTCCCGATTTGGTCTAGAGTGAATGACACGAACTTCACGACTTTCCTTCCCATCAGAATGTTTTTTAGCTTCTCGACAGTGCGGGACAAAACCACTTCCTCGTACTCCAGGGACTGTCGACTCGGGTAGCATTCTGACTGAGAGCTGGCATTTGGATACTAGAATAGTTTGAAGAAAAAGTTGACTCTGTCAGGCAGTACATGGGTATGTTATGCTTGGGTAATATCCCAGATCAGTCGGTATGCATGGCCAAAGAATACTGAGGTCACTCACACCGGCTCCGGTGCTTCCCGACTTTTCTGGCAGAAAATATCACCCCGCTTGGGCTTGTGAATTTCATCCAAGGAATCCGCTGTTCCAGCTCGGCACCAAACTTTTGCCTTTTATTCGATGATTGGGGAGATGCGCTGCACCAGCGCCCACCTCCAGTTGAGCCGATCGGAAGCGTGTAACTGTTCCATTTTATCTGATTAGATGTGCCGACCAGGGACCTCCTCAGGTTGGCCATGCGATTTGACAACGTAACTGACAGCCTTATCAGAGACCCAAGCCTTGATGTCACTCACACCCTGATGAATGTTAGTAACAGCTTGGCCGATTAATCTTTCTTTCCATTTCCCACCTGATTGTTTGTGTCCTAGCGCACCTGCATTTCTAATGATCGCTGCGACCAACGGCGTGTCATCTCTCAGTTGACCTACCACAACATTCTTTCAGCCTATACCAGGTGCCAGAGTTTTCAGATATCGTAATTCGAAGAGACGAATAAGGTACCTCGGTGTAGTTAACCAAGATACAGGAAGCTTCGTCGCATTGGGGGTACTCCGTGACCCTATTTAGTGTATCCATACCCTGACAACCAATACTTCAATGCTAACATATCTATTCATAATTAGTACTGTGTTTACCTTGAAGGGATCAAAATGATAACGAAGATCCTGCAAGACTGTCCTTCCTACGGGTAACAGTGACCGCATAACTATCAATAAATGTTCCAGATAAACCAAGGACAAAAAAAAGAGGAAATTCACATACCACTGCATGAAATCGTGGTAACAGCGGCGAACTTCCAACGGAACCTCCGTACTCTCCATTCATACTGTCTGTTCGCGCCAGGTAGTGAGTATGAAGGCAGCACGCTTCTCGGCAAATGGTGCTCTCAGCGTCAGTCTGGTCATGGCAACGAACAGTCGAGATAATAATTGCGACGCGACCGGATATTCTTTCTGGAACCATGTCAGTTAACAAACCCAAAAGGGCCGCAGCACAAGTGGTCAGGTGGACGAAGCCACTACTTCATACAGGAGATCAACCTTAGGAAACTGAGTTTATCGGCTAAGTTTATGCTTTTAATTCACAGGGAATTTCGCTTTTTTGAGGACCAAGTTGCACACCAAGTAAAAACAGGATAGGAAACAAAATAAGTCCCATCATCTAGCAAAGTAGACATAAAGCACTCCAAATTTGAAACCACAGTGATCATTGTGCCATCCCAAAGTACCATCCGGAGGAAAACAGCGATAGTTGAAAATAGGTACCACCAATTCATCAGTGTTAGCTAACAATGGAGATGACGATCACAGACAGAAAATCAGCATCTGATTGTACAACTAAGGGGAGGGGATACGTAAAAAAAAACACTCGTAAGATAGACTGAATAAGGCGCTACAGCTGTGAGGCAGCGAGTGCGTAGGTGCGTATTATTTCTGCCTTGGAACAGCCCGTAAAATTTTCACCGGCATCACTGGTTTCATCGGACTCTTCTTCCATATCACCCGGGTCAAGTTCGTCGTCGGTCTCTTCAGGTGTAATGGGAGGCGCATAAGCAGAATCTCCCAAGTCCCAATCTGATCCCTTGTTATCTAAATCGGTAAAAGAGGCGGACATACTCCGCGATCCTGGTTCATAGGTTGATGCGTGTGTATCACGCTCGTAGAAGAGCAGATATGCCAAACTTGAGCGCACCTCATCGCTTGACACTCGCAAGACGTGAGCGTCTGAGGTGAATATCCAAGGTGACGAGCTTCGCACGGTACGGTTTGGAATACCGTGGAAAAAATTGGAGACTGATGTTGTGATATACCGCAGGAACCGCAGGTAGACGGGTTCTCTGACCGACCTTTTAGGATCACGCTTTCTCCACACCCGATACGTTATATAGTGACCGGAGTTTATGGATTCACCTTGATGCACCAAAACTGCTCGCAAGACGTACGTCCGCGGCTGCCTGCATAAAAAGGAAAAACAGTTGTGGTTCGGATGAAGGTAAATTATTCTCTAAACTCTGTCGTCAACAAAACAATGCTTAACACTGATTCTTATCAGCCGTAAAATAATGAGTTATTTGAAAGACAGTGTGAAGAAGAGAATAAAGATGGACGGGGAAGGGACTTAGCGCTAGCTTACTACAATTATTCTGAGGTGACTACACCTCGAGACACTCATTCAGGCAATCTGGATATAAACTGACAAAGCCACTGACACCGATTAGCATCCATATCGTGCAATGTCTCCAATCAGACGCAGTGCTTAGCGCTACTTACTACAATTATTCTGAGGTGACTACACCTCGAGACACTCATTCAGGCAATCTGGATATAAACTGACAAAGCCACTGACACCGATTAGCATCCATATCGTGCAATGTCTCCAATCAGACGCAGTGGGAATCACGCAGTCCCCATCCTGGAATGTGAGTAGCACCGATAGCACCCAAACGTTTTATAACCTCTTTCATATCCCTCTGTCATCACTCCGAAGTGGACACCAAAACACCACTCTGGTCGGTATACATAATATACGGCCTAGCCAACAGGGCTTCTGACGTTGCACAACCAAACACTCCCTTTCTGCCACTCGAATTCCTCTGATTAGGCTTGGGCAACCAGTTAATATCCCAGTCCTCGTGCTTCCTTCTCGTGGCATGGCATTTAGGCGCCGAAAGGGTGCTACAGCTTATACACACGTCCCTAGAGATTCAGGGATAAACCACTTTGATCCCATCACCCTATTCATCATCAGCTGTAGGAACTACGTACTTGTCGCAGTGGTTATAGATGCTACGGTTTCGTCCACCAACAATTTGGGGAGGTGGGGTAGGCAGCTGCGCATTGGAGGCGGGAGCTCATAAACTGGTGCGTAAATACAGCACTGTTAGTGGGGGGGTGGGGAGCTATGCATTGAAGGCAACAGCTTGGACGCAAGAACGCTATCGAGAGCGCCACTGGACGATATCTGGCATTGTCTCTAGCCATTGATGTGGCCCATCTCGGGGTCCCCATCCACGAAAACGGCAGTGACCAGCGCAGCTGAGTTTGCTGGTAGTGGTTTTCATACTTCGCTGCCAAGTCACTGTTTGACCTCTCCTGGCTCGTTTCCACCCTTCGCAAAAAATCCTTCGAAGAAGTCAGTCGACCGGAATACGGAGCACGTGGCCAAGTCAGCGCAACCTATGCAGTGTGATCAGTTCATCTATTGAGGGTGAGTTATTTCTTAGGAAAACTATTCGGCGTATTTCAGCATTGCTGATCCGATGTTCCAACCAGACTCAGCCAATGCTTGAAGACATCGATGGTCAAACAGTCTTCTGACGTCCTCGGTGCGCAGCGGCCAGGTTTCCGACCCGCATAATAATATGGAGCGCGCCGCAGCATTGTAAACTCGGCCCTTGAGGGATAAGCTGATGTCACGCCTACACCACAAGTAACGCAAGTTCGTAGAAGCTGCTCTGGCCTTCCGAATCCGGAAGAAATATCATCTATCGCGAGACCAGAGGAATTGATACAGCTGCCCAGATAGACAAATTGTCTTCTACCTCAGTGGAGTCATCCGCATGAGGTTAGGATTCCATCCCACCCACTCTTGGGAAGGATTCTTTACACTGCTAGTGTGAAGCACATGCCAAACCATGAGACAGAATCATTTACATTATTTAACATTGTTTACACTACGACGGCGTCAGATCCAAGAAGAGCTATATCGCCTGTGTACGCGGTATCTGAGCGAATCCCCTAAGAGCACTTCGACCCCAGTGGCAGGTTTTAAGTCAAGAAAGACAACCGCTGTTGACCGCTCGAAACAGTGTCGCTGCTCCAGAACCTGTCGGGTGGTGAACATATGATCGATCCTTGGTTTTTATGGATCCGTCTCAATCGACCTTCGGAGGATGAGACCAGACAGCACCTTCGATGCCACGGTGGCTTTCATACGGCGTCAGCGTACACTGTTTAAATATAGGACTAACTGCCCCATTCTGCAGACACTTTCTCTTTACTCCATATCGCACCAATAAACTTTGTTAGGCTGCCACATAATCTCACTTCACACCCGCACACTCTTGCATGCCAGAAACCCTGCGGAACGAATGCCTCAACTTCTCAGCCTGCTCAGTTTGTCCTTTATTCCTGCACTGGGTAGCAAGCGGGATAAGGTCCTTGAGGAGGGTAATTAGGTGCCACTGACACTAACGCTACCAAGCAACGTGTATCCTGAGGATATTTGACTGCAAGCAGACAAATGTCATGAATGGGGAAAAATCAGATTTCGCTAGCAGCTTGAAAGGTACATCAGTTAATTCAGTGAAATCTGTCCAGCGAACGTGAGCTATATCTCTCAAGCATATAGGTAAAATTAATAAACTAACTTTAATAGCTGACACCAGGAGGAACAACTGCGACAACGAGATGGGGACACAGGGCGCCAACCTGAACTGGAGGGTCACTAATGAGCTCGATCAGTTTTTTGGAAAGCTACAGTCGGTAAACAGACAGTTATTGCTACAACAGGAATATGACTGACCGAGCATGAATCTGAGAAATGGCACTCTGTTGATATACGCCCCCAGAGTCCTGATGATCGCTGTCCGAAGTTGCATTTGATCGAGATGACAACATATACCGGGCCATGTTGAGGCGGCAGGGGAAGGATACATAGTCCTGTCGCTTGGATCCAAATCCTAGGAAACGAGAAAAGGCAGGCTTTGGAAGTTTAAGTCATGGTAGCAGTGTAAGCAGGTTTTCGATACGAAGTACTGATATGTAACTGAATGCAAAAATGGCATCCATTAGTTTTCGTTTCAAAAACCGTGTCGAGTTCTTTGGACAACGCGATTAATTTTCATTAGCACATCACATGGAGTAAACTACATAAGTACGACATTTTTTAATGAAGGAAACGGTGGTGGCTCAGGTTGCCTAGAAAGCTAGTAATCTGTTCGCTGAGCTTGGCAGTTCGGTTGCAGATGTTTGGTCACCAGCGGATGTGATATTAACACCAGCGTTGTGTACTTGTGAAGGCGTTGGGCACTGTGGTATTCTCGTTTGTATACGTCTCGTTGGCCGGGTGAGGACATTTCGCTGTGATTGGCCGACTAGATAGCGGATCCTGTTGGTTGTTTAGCTTGCCCGTTTTCTAATTGGCGGACGTTCGGATTAACTTTAACCTCCGCGACTTACACCCATGACCTTTGTCGGGTCGCTGGTTGCCACATTTGCCCCTTGATCGGTCCGTCTGTCCACTTGTTCTCCTTGGATTATTTCATCAGTTTGGTGAGTCTGCTCGCAGTGGTGCGTAGATTGGGTCAATTTCTATTGTCAATTTACTGAATTTGACGGAGCACCGTGCTTACAGAGAATTCTTTGCTTACCACGCCCTGCAACGTGCCGACACCATAGTTTCTAGGACACTAGTTGGACAGAAACACAACCAAAAACAAGCCAGAAGCTCACCAAAAGGATTCCAACTGATGCCTGTACGCCCTAACCATGCACTCCTTTGAACATGTAGGACAAGGCACGACGGCAGATGAGCTATCCAGCGTTCTTGCTGACAAAGTCCCGTGTGACCGCTTAAGTTTTTAGCTGTTGGTTGACATTTTGGGCAATGAAGATCCTGAAGTGGTTCACTCGTGCCAAACTGCTTCGCCAGGCAATCCGATAACCGGGGGGGAATCGGTGACGTTGACTGTTGTTTAGCAATTCCAAGGTGGGTATATCGTTGGTGACGAGATATTGCAGCGGTGTAGGAAGAGCAGTCTACAAGGTGGAAAGGGTAGGAAGGGAAAATCGAATGAAAAACGGTAGTGACACGGGCAGGGTTGGTGAAGACAGCATCAGGAATCTCTAGCAATGTTTCAACAGTCAGGACGTCTTGGTCGGTTGGTAACCTGAACTAAGGTGATCAGCCGAAATTAAATCCTGTTTTATTACGTGGCACTGAAACCATGACATGTTAATGTTAGCTAAAAACGATAAAGGAACCTTCGGACCAGCAGGAATACAGCCTAATCGACTCCAAAAGTGAACAGCTTAAGGCACAGTCCTAATCGCAATCAGCCATCACCCTCCCTTAGTGTGGTAATGGTAACGTCTCAGTTCAGTTCTCGGTCTGATCCTTCCAAACTAGCCTTTTCAGCATAAGGACCACCAAGGGTGCGCAAATTGTATTAAACGCCCCAAACCAGGTCGAAAACACATGTGCAGTGTGTCATATCTAAAGTGTATGCGGTGACAACATTATGGAAATTAGGGTGCCTTGACACGGCATCGGATACCGAGTAATGATTGACTGTTGGGTAAACACTTCCGGCCAATCAAAGCTCACCTTGATGGCCAACTACCTGCGGGTTAGGCTTCTTGGCCATAGCTGTGCCTGCTCAAGATCGGTAGGGCAGCTTTGGTACACGATTGGTGTTGCCGATATACTGTAAAGCTATGGAGACCCAAATCAATTTTGACGTTCGGAAGCCGGATTAGGAGAGTCAGAACACTTCCTTGTACGACACGTACTGTAAATAAGGCTGGTAACAAACTTCTCTGACTTCACCCTAGTTGTGTTAATCATGGTCATAGGGAACGTCGTTTTCGTCCCAAGGACAGACTTGCTGTTGGGTAGCGTCTAATGAGGAAGTTTCGCAGTAATGTTCTTGCCAAACTGAATTGGCGAAAGTGGGAACCAAACTTGACTGACTGTTCAGTGGTTGTCCGTCTAGAGGAACTGACTTGATTCCTATCTTAACCTTGTAACAGCAGGAACATTATTAGTCTCTGTTGATGTATTCGCATACGATAACGTTCCGAACCCAAGGGCCGTGCTGGCGACATCTGTCTACTGTCCTCTGCAAGTCCCTCACGTCTTGCAGGTAGCAACTGGCTGCACAGAGGCTCGGATCCAAGGTCAAACAAATGTCAAGTAGTGCTAAGGAAATCCGCAAAACTGAAATCACATAAACGCTAACTTTACAGCAACGCATATCAGCAGCCGCAGTGGCTGGGATATCAACCCCCAAAGCTAGGTTTGCAGACACTAAAAATTCTTCATTGGCTGCTGGAAGGTTTAAGCTTTACTCGATGTTACCAGTCAGTAGAACACCAAGCACGCCACCAATTCGATATCACTTTACTCTCCTATGTTCAACTACTATTCTTATTGGTTTTACCAAAGTGGATATCCACGGAGTGATGTCTAGCAGTCGGCCGAGTGATGCCGTACACTCGACCAGGAATATGCTTGAGATCCAGTGCTTGTATCTAATTAGTTGCCCTGTGTGGACTGGGATGAATTTGCGCTGGTAACCGTGGGAGGCACCAAATTAATCAAAACATTAATCGCCTTGTGTTGCCAAAAGGCAACCCGTCCCAACACCACCTCGGAGTCTTGCCGCCGTTCAGACGGTCTGATACGTGACTCAGCTTAAATCCGTACAATGCTACCTACCCAGCGCAAGTCATTTGTGACAAACAAGTGAGAAGTGGATACAATCCCACTAGCTTCTACGATAGCACACAAATCGGTTGCGAATCGACTACCCCCGGACTAGCTGAACAGAACCTCTCAGCTGTGACATCCTTTTGGCGCATAGCTGTCATACAAACTGCGCGAGCCACGAGGGCTGAGGTCGCTCTAGTCTAGACAGAAGCAACCAAGAGCCCAGGGTTGGGCGTGTGCTAAGGACATTCCGAGCAGTAGTTTCATGCTTTGAGCTCCCACTGACCTATTTCAACTAGAATATCAGTAGGCAAATGTTGCAAAAGAAACCAGCGGTAATTCGTTCACGACTATTCACACTACTAATACGGAAGATGGCAACTACTTATCGCATTTGAATCAAATTGCCAAAGTGTGAGATAGCTCCAAAGAAGTCATGAGACAAGAAACAACGCAAACACCAGAAGAGCCATTCAGATTAAAAGTCCCTATTAGAGGAACATTTATTTTAATTCTGTCGCCGTGTTCACTGGAACTTTTGAGTTACCTAAACGTCTTCATGTGACTGACGATACAGTATGTCTTTTCACCTCCTTAAGGAGAGTGAACGGCAAGTAAGGGACAGATGCAAACGGCCCTTCATGTGTAGAACTTACGGGTAGCTCATCTGTACTAGAAACAGGATTAGACACTGAAGGCTACCTTCTGACATTCTGTAAGCTCTACTGCAACAGTAGCTACGAAGATTCACCAATATACTGATATATATTTGAAGACGCTGCACTCGATGCCTTAGGGCGTATAAGTATACAGCACGTGATTCCAAGAGATTGAAACGTATATTAAACGGATGACATTCAAGTTCTGTTAACCGTGTTATAAGTGCAACTCACCAAAGAAAACGGTAAGACAAGCCTCTGGTTGAAGCACGGGCGAGCTACGGTAGTCACACCTTCGACAAGTCACCTGACTGACTAGCAAGTGTTGCTGAAAGACTTCGATTCGCATAGGGGCGTGCAGGATAAACGGGTTATGTACACTGTTGACTCGCGCACGATGAAAGGAACGGGGAACAACCTGTGAATAAAGTGCCAGGCAGAGTATAGGACCACAATGAAGCGCCGGGAAGCAACACAAGTTAGATTAAGGTGCAGATGTGGTCTTACTTGTTCGTAACGTGGCCCGATGAATCGCGAGACGGAGGTTAAACCTTCGCTGGCTTTGAAGGCGGTCCGACCCAACTCTCGACAACACGCAACATCCATGAGAAAGCCAAATAATTCATGAGCATCCTGACATAGAAGACAATAGATGCGTGTCAATAATATGGACTGGAGTTTTTGAGAAAGTGGTAGGTGAAACCTACTCAGAAATGAACAAGGTGGCGAACAACGAAAAATTCGAGCCACTCTGATCGTCACTATCGAGGCTGGAAGAGCATCCTAGTAACCACTGGTGTTAGGAATCAGTAACCGCTAGCTTGTGACAAAATTTTTTGATCGAAAGCTTCGGTGAACTAGTTGATAGCAAGTCTCTCTAAGTAAGGTTTCAAAAAGCTTAATGCCAAAGCTGTCGGGTAAAGCTACTGACTCGGTAGTGATAGTAGAATCTAACCAAATAACAAGTATTTTGAAAAAGTTTGGTTTTATTATTTTCTACACCTTTCTGAGACGATGACTCACAGATAGGTGTTAAGTCTTTCCCAAATGGTCAAACGATTGAATTGAATAATAAATAATTGAGAACGACTAACAATTGCATTGTGTTGAGAGGTTCCTCAGTTTGGGGTTGAGCATCAGGCATGTCCAGTAGGTTTTACTAGGTTCCACGGATGAAGACAAGAAATGCACTTCAAACGGTTTCGAAGAATATGAAGTACAGAGCCAAATGTACACACATACTGAAGAATCAGTAGCGGAATACGTTGATATACACGGCGGAGGGATTCAGGCGTTGTTACAGGGCGAACGGAGAATATAACGAATAAATCGCGGTAACTGATATCATAAAGAAGGGATATTCTCATGAAAAGGCTCATAGCGTAGAGCGAGCATGGCCGATTCGTTCATCGGTACACCCCACGTGTGTACAAATAACAGGCCAGAAGAATGATATTTCAATAACATTTCAACAATTTCACCGGATGTGTGGAACTTCCTTCTGAGAAGTCGTCACTCCAGTCAACACGTGACCACGTAATGTGGTTTCCGTTATTGAAGGACGAATGGCGTCATGTCCTGTCTCACTCCAGTCACACGTGACCACGTAATGTGGTTTCCGTTATTGAAGGACGAATGGCGTCATGTCCTGTCTAGATGAAAGCTGATCAGTTAATCACTTATAGTCAAACTGGCAGGAAGTTTGCTGGTTCAAAACATTGAGTTTCGTGAGATGCGCACCGCTGATGATTCTCAACAAGCATGAAACAATACAGCAGCTGTACAGTGCTGCTAAGGCATTCAGCATACATTGGCTCCACTAATAGGATGAAATCTCTACCATTTATTTCAGCTGAACGATATCCGCGTCAACCCCCGCCGCTGAAATAACGAATTTACAGTTGCTGCACCGGAATACTAGGTTCTTGGATGGGTTCATACAAAATCGTTCAGCTGTAACGCCCTTCCGGCGCCTACCTGCCATGCCAGCTGAAGGAAGCACGGTGGCTAGGATACTGCCAGGTTCCCAAAGCCTAAACAGGGTAAGTCGAGAAGCAGAGGTCGGGTTCGAACCACGGACCTTCGGCTTAGTAAATTCGCGCTTTAACTACCCAGTCATCTAATCACCCCCCCCCTCCGGTTCATAGAGAATCCGAAGGTAAACCCTATCGAAAACCATTCTATAATAATAGTCATGCAGCGGTGCACAGGGGTTACCAAATCGTCAACTGATTGAAAAAAACCTTCGATTTATGAAGGAACCTGAAGTCGAAAAGTAAGGGTATGTCAAAAAACTTTCAGTGATTAGGTGTGAAGTATACTCGAAACTTTAGAAAGTCCTGCATCCTCTTCAGTGTGCAAAACATTCTAATTTCGGCGTTGCAAGAAGTCAGACCAGGTGTTCGGGGGCCAGCCGTCCCCAATAACCGAACAGCACATCATTTGGACGGATGTGTCACGTGCAGGAGACGGGCCAAACGAAGGCATGCCCTGATTGGTCAGAATGCCGGCCAATCCGAGTCAAGCACCTGTGACTCGACGCTTCTCGTCCCCTCACGGTGATTCTGGCACGACCTTGTGGAACACACTATGACTACCCTATAAATACGGTTGTACTAATTTTCTTTCGCCTCCATAAAAGGGCTGTCTAGAGCTACCGTGCCTTTTGATATACCATAGTGGGCGGAGCAGGAAGCCAAGGGACCAATACAGAGTTGCACTACCGCCCAACAAGTCACAACATTAGGTGGGATATACTGTGAAAAGCTGCGTTAGATAGGGTTCAAAATTTGAATGTTGATTTGAACAGGAGCGTGTAATATACAAAGATGGTAGACAGTAGATCTAGAGTTCTTATCCTTCTAATCAATACGTGGTATGCTCAAGGCATGCAACATACCTACTCATATCTGGAATTTATGAGTACTGGTTTGGCGATTTCAGGTTCCTTGAACCCCTACTATTCGATGGTCGCGGAAGAACGGAGGACGGAAGCAATATTCAAATGCGTTCACACAAGAACCACCCGAAACTTTTAGCTGAAGCATAGACCACAGAGTGATGTGACAGTGTGTCTGCCTCCGTGATAGTTTGGGTTATATTGCGATGTCCGTGTGACACGCAGTCGTACAAGGTTGGTCACTGGTAATAGGTCTCACCAACGCAGCCTCTCGGCCATCCAGGTTGGAGGTTGAAACATGTGTGGCAACTTGTTCCATAAAAATTGTAACGCACCTGAATTGCCCGCCAGACATCGCCGTCTTGTGGTTAGGCTTTTAGGCCAAAGGCTTTGGCCGAGGACCCTAATCTTCCTACCTAGGTCCGGTGCCCGGACAGTACATCAGCCCACGTACAACTCAACGACTTTCCCACTGTGGAAACGTCAATCAACTAGTGAGGGATTGTATGTTGTGAGACTGCCGACCGTTAGGGTGGTCTTTGCCACTCTGATTGTCATACTTCAGTTGGGTCAAATAAGACCTTAGTGAGTGGTCCTTCAGACCGATTATTCTAGTTTTGACCTTGGAACAGCACCGACTTGTTTTGAATTCCCTGCCCAAACTAGAAATTTGTCAAAAATTCAGTGAATAAGTGCGTTCGGTGTTGTTCAAAATTTAGATGTCCTGAGTAGGACGGGCACACAAACCCCAGATGCTTTGATATCCAGTCGCACACTTTACGTGTGACCGGTGTTGAGTGATGTGACTTTAGCGTCCAGTTTTGAAGAAAAACGGTGCCCGGATGACAACATGGATGCCGAATTTAAGAACGTCCCATACAAAAGATAACGTGTCCTAATGGTATCCGATATCACTTGAAAACAAACCATATGCAAACGACATTCGAAATAAACGAAGGCCGCGGTCGTTGGTGTAGAACACCAAAAGTAAAAGCTTAGAAAATTTCATCCACTATTCGAGCTAGTTCATGGTTCGAATACTGAAGCAAACCAAGCCATCAATGTAGGCTTTTCAAAAATGACTTCGGCCTGATCACCACGGTTTACATTTCATTTGGTGACGACAGGAAACAGAAACCAACCGGAAAGGCACCCCACCGCCGTATGAATGAAAGAGAGAAGTCCGTCAGGGTTATCGATTCTTTAGTGTCTTACAGTATCACCGTCTTTACATCACAGGAAATTTAATGAAGCAAACGAGGCAGTGTTGCCTGATTTTTGTGGTCTCTTAAGATGTCTTATACATTATAAAACACCTATCACCCCAACATTACCTGCTGTTCATCTGTTGACCAACTCCGAGCATTTGCGAGCTCATACATAAATGCTGTGTGGACTTCACGCAGCACGTTCTCCAGATTGTGGGCGAGTATATAATCATTTGAACAACGAAGAGCTACAAAACGATAGTAAAGCAAGCACTATAGAAAACAGCAACAGTAGAAAGAGAAGCATATAAATTATGTAGTTCTATGGCAATTCTAAATTCCTGGATTCGACAATAAAAGCTACTTGGAGGACAGCTCTTAGTGACCGCAGGAAGAAGAGACAAATCGATTAAATTGATGCCCCTGGTGGGCAGCCAGTGTGACAGATTTTCTGGGTTGATTGTTCAGACCTATCTATTATGTCGCTTGTAACAGCTATTTTGGTTTAGGAAGTCGAACATGCAAGGAATCACTGAAAATGAAGTTACCGTTTATCAAACACGGCTGATATATATTTTTACTATGCTATTTCTGTCCACTCTAAAAACACAGCGAACAGAGAACTTGATACCTCGGTACAGCAGCCGTATTTTATTGGTATAATAGGCACAAATAGATGCATCTTTGATACGACCTCATCTATTAAACTGATTGAAGCTGCTGGTCTCGTCCCGTAGTAGTACTAGTTCCGTATAAAACAATCGGATGGTATTATGGACCGATGGACATTCGTTTGCAAACTAATTCGACGTTAACTAGAGACTGAAGAAAAAAGGAATTTGCACCTAATCCAACAAAAACAGCGGATAGTGGCGGCTGCAGTCAGGATAGGTTTCTTCGGTCAATATTTCAGGACTATCTAACCAACCGACAACAACTGTCCTATTTCTCTTACAATTCAAAATAGAATACGCTTCTCTGGTGTTGGGTGGTGGAAGTTTTTTGACAGACCGAAGATCTCTCAGTTGAACCCAACAAAACGATGATCAGCATGGAAGATGCCATCGTGACGACAGTCGAAAGTACAACACTGTTAGCAATATGAGCAATACGAAGCTCTGTATGGGCCGGCGGGTACAACACAACTAGTGATCAGAAGCTCCCTGATGGGTATCTTATTCTGACTTTGGAATTGCTCTGGTTGCTCAGGTGTGAGTAAGGTTACACTCGTGCCTTTTTTTAGGTTGCAAGGTGACTTTAGACCAAGAAGTCGCATGGATGGACCGTTCAGTTTAATCGTTAAACCATTTTTAGCACGCTGAGCTGGGGCAGCAACATCAGTGTTGACACTGATGCTTCACTGGCATACAACCATAAGGTTTGTCTTATCATATTCAAGTCCTCTAAGTGAAAAGAGGAGAAAAAAAGGTGGGTGAGGAAGGGACCTACTAACGGCCTATATCAAGCATTCTTATGAGCCTACGCGACCAAGTACTCAATCGGACAATCTGGAAAAAAACTGACAGCACGAACGCCACTGATATCGATCAGCAACCATTTCTCGCAATTTCTCTAAACAAGCGCAAGAGTGGGTAGCGGAGACCCCACCAAAACTCTTCTTGATCATTTTCACACCCTTCTGCCAGGGCACACGTTGTCCACGTCGCGGTCTGAACCATTCCAAAGTAGGTGCAGAGAACAAAACCCGTCTCCTTAGACGGTGTTTCGGCATCCGTAGCGCATGCCTGAGCCACCGAAGTCGATGTTCCTGGTTATTTTCCACGATTGAAGCAACTGCTCCACAAATACCCGTGTTCTAATCAGGTCATTACTAATTCGTTGACGCCATATAAAACCAGAAATGATTTTGAGGCATTGGTGGTCAAAAACCTGAAGACGCTTCACATCATCTGTCCGCAGAGGCCACGTCTTGCAACCACACAACAATACAACCCTTATTGTAGCCCGGTATATGCGACCCTTGGGACCAAGTTATATGGCTTTTTGACGCCACAAGTGGTACTAATTAGCAAATGTAATTCGCACTGATTTCATCAGACATTTCAATCAGAGCTAATAAAACTACCGAGGTATTCAGTAGGTCATCACAACCTAAAGTGATCCTCCTTGTATTACAAGGGGGTTTTGTTCACCATATGTTCCGAATCATGACTGTGAACCTTGAAGGTGCTAAGCGCATGCCGACAGACGGTATGATAGTGGTCAGTCTGTGCAAAAAGAGCATGCATCGCGCTTTTATCTTGAAATATGAGGGCTATGTCATCTGCATACCCCAGATCGAAAAGCTTCTCACTAGCAACAATCTGAAAACCGGGATTTTAAGGACCTTCCAGCGTTCACCCCATTCTTTCATAAATGACGAAGTTGAAAAAGAACGCAGAAAGTGGACATCTTTATCGGACATCATTTTCTGTACGAAATCTCTGGGAGAACTCATCATACACTTTCAGAAGCCCAGAAGTGAGTATTGGGGCCGCATTATGCTGACAAACTTCTGCGACACACCTTGTTGAGAAAGTATAGTTAATAACACTGAAGTCAAGGAATACGAAGATTGTGGGTCACCTGTACCTAGGGCGTGTATATGAAGAAGTAATCGACGCAACTTCTACTCGGACGAAATCCCACTTGATGCTCACGGGTCAAGGATTCGCGAGCCGCTGTAAGACGGCGAGGGTCCAAGATACTATAAGCTTTCTTACAACAGGAACAGCGTCACCATCACATTCACTGCGAGTACCATTTTTGAAAATGGGCCCTATTATCGACTCACCTCAGCCTCCCTCAGTCTCTTTCTCCCATATAGACCCAAATAGACTAGACGGGCACTGGCTGAGAAACTCACCGAAATTGTTGAACAGGGTAGATGGAAGATCGCCAGGACCAACAGCACAACAAAGCTTGAATAGTGATACACGCTCGGACACTCTTCGGATTAAAGGGAGCTCCGCGCTCACAGTCCATTTTTTTGTTGAAGGTTAGAATTGCCGTTCGAAGTAGTTTGCCCAGAAGTTATGCTTTGCTGGATATCAGAGAGCCATTTTGGTTCTTGATAGTCTCACCGACAGAAGGCTTCCGAGGACCAGTCGAAAGAATGAAGTGGAACGACCTGCGGACGTTCCAGCATTTTTTGCATTACTTCCATTTCTTCGGCTTCTCGGGTCTACCAAGCTTCTCGATCTGCACGGCAACTCAGTTTCACCTGGCGTCAGATGATGAGCCCGTGGAAACAGATTTCGAAATGTTTAGGGTTGTCACTGAAGACGGATGCTGCAGCTGAGTGTGATAGACAGCGAGCAAAACGGTCAGCCGGGACCTGTGAAGAGTGTATTCAAATTTGGGTGGAGTAGGGCAGAAGAGGGAAGAAAATTGTTCAGCTGCAGCACCCTTTCGGCGCCTAGCTGCCAAGCCACAAGAACGAAGCACGAGGACTGGCATACTGCCAGGGGGAAGTAGAGAGACAGATGTCGGGTTCGAACCACGGACCTTCCGGTCAGTAGGTTCGCGCTTCCACCACTTGAGCCATTTCGCCCTCATAGAAGAGGGAAAACGTGAAAGTGTAAGAAGGAAGGCGTCAGCAAAAGCATATTTCGCGTACTCGCCCTGCTTTATGCAGCAAGTAAGGCAACCCGGCTGATAGCATCACGCGACGGCCGGTGTGGCATGAGTTTATTTGGGTGTACCATACATGGTTGCACATGATTTGGGACACGGTCAAGGAGCCCACGCCTAGACAGGAGGACGATGAAGGTCCACAACCAAAGCCTTTAGCTCAGAAGGCTGAACACAAGGTAGTAGTGTTTGGCAGGAACTGCAAGTGCATTTCAATTTTTACAAAACAAGTCGCCCCAAACTAGAGGACCAGGAGACTGTGTTGATCAGACCTCTAACCATTGACCAACCTCATATGAGAGGCCGTAAGTGTCGCATGGATACTACCTAGTGTAGCTCACGGAGACAGAAACACACAGTTATATCAAGGCAAGGTCGTCTCTTCGCGTTGGATGAAGGGAAATCCCGTCGAATTGCTGCGGAGGGAGAAGTAAAGTAACCCCTAAAATACCGCTACATAGTTAGTTGACGTTTGCGGTACGTGGGGCTTGTGATTTATGTTCTAGCAGCTAAGTTGGGCGATCCATCTCTCACATTCCGAGAAACCATTTCTTCTACAGGGTAGAAAACTGAATGTGAGCCAACACAACTTGGAAATATCAGACGAAATTGCGCATAAATTGCGAATCCAGATTTGTATATTTTGACGTTCAAGTCGTCAGTGATTTCACGGGTGAAGTTCCATTCACGTTTCGTCGAGGACACAGAAGGCGAGAAAGCAATGCTCATGCATAAATAGGAACGTACCTTTGAGAAGACAGACGAGGCAATAGAGCAGCTTGCTCCGTCTAGTGTGCGCACTTCGTTTCAAAAAGCGTACGAGGCTAGCATTTGTTGACATGGCCTGTAGAAGTGCGTTGAGGTAGCACAAATTCCGCGGATTCGGAAGACCCATGGGAAGATCATTTTCGGCGGCTATAGTGAACAAAGGTGAGGTAAAAATAGCAACAAGAGGCGAACACACGGGAGCGAACTAAATGGCGAAAAAAGCGGTTCAAAAGTTAGCTTAATCGGTTAACGCCAAATCGACCAGTGTGATCATAACAATAAATAATAATCGTTCAGCTGTAGCACCCTTTCGGTGCCTAACTACCATGCCACCCGAAGGTTGCACGAGGGTTGGGATATTGCCAGGTTGCCCAAGCCTGGACAGGGGAAGTCGAGTGGCAGAGGTCTGGTTCGAACCACGGACCTTCCGGTCAGTAAACTCGCGCTCTAACCGCTTGGGCCATCTCGCCCCCCCCCCCAGTGTGGTCAGCATATGTACTGCGGTCGATGGCTGTGTAGCAGTTAGCACCGGTTTCCAANACTCGGTCTCTAACCGCTTGGGCCACCTCGCCCCCCCCCCAGTGTGGTCAGCATATGTACTGCGGTCGATGGCTGTGTAGCAGTTAGCACCGGTTTCCAATGCTAGTGTACTTCTACCATGATAACAATGATGATAGTCTTAGAAGCATAGTCTAACTGACCCTTCTTAGACCAATAAAGCAGAGTTTACTTGCCAAATGTCTTCTGAGTCTATTCTAATTAACTATACCAGAACTTCCCAACCAACAACTGGAGCACCAAACAGTCGACCACACCGAAAGATTCACCATAAACATAATCCTTCATTCCAGTACTCAGGACCAAACAGCGTGCGTTGGAGATTCATCCTGGTTCCTAAACAGGTCAGATAAGCCTTTAGCGCTTAAGCTGAGTGAAATGGAGCACCAGAAGACGATGTTCGTAGCGGGGACCTGTCAACGGATGGAGTAGTGAAGGCTCCAAGTAAGAGGTGATGAGCTTTCCTGTCGTATCTCGACGTTGCGGAATGTGAGTAGCTCACGCACGCTGCTTGGATGTTGGTCTGCTTTCTGAGCTTGGTAGTTGGATCGCAAACGTACCACCATTAACTGAAGTGACATCGTTAAATCCACATTGACGACGTCAAACTGATCAGTGGTGAAGTGTTTGCAAGCCGACTGCCAAGCTCGGCGAGCAGACAACAACCAAACATCTGTTGTTCTGGGGAAAATTGGCCAATTGAGGCCGGCTGAGGTTATCATCATCAAAGACGGCGACATCAGTGTTGACAATGATGCTTTCCCACGAAGGTTTATTTAGATATATTTGAGGCCGTAGTGTGAAAAGAAAACAAATTAAATGAAAGAGGTATCTGGCACTAGCTCAGCGCAGGCGTCCCTGAGTGCTGATGTCTCCAAGCACTCGATCAGGCAAAAAAAATGACAGCACGAACTCCAGGGACCTCGATCAGCTGCCATTTCTTGCAGTGTTTCTAGACAAGCGCATGGGGTCACTGATACCCCGTCGTGGAAAGCCGACCACGCCAGCAATACCCACACACCTTTCTGCCAAGCCACATGTTGTCAACCTAACAGTTTACAGCAAGCTGAAAGAAGAATTGAAAACAACACTCATTTCGGTAGACAATGTTTCGGCATACGTAGCACGTGACCGAGCCAGTGGTCAATGTTGCTGGATGTCTCCTCGTGACTGAAGTATCTGCTGCACAACCAAATACTCGCTTTCTGTTCACTTTGTTACGAATGCGTTGACACCAGCAACAGTTCTAAAATATCGGTGGTCAAAAAGCGGAGACACCTCACATCATGCTTACAGAGACCACGTCTCGCAGCAATACAACACAGCCATTGCTGTAGCCAGAGGTAGGCAACCCCTGAGACCCAGTGATGTACTCTTTTTTGCCCTCACAAGTGACGCAAATTGGTAAACGTGATTGGGACATTCGATGCTCCAACACTCACTTTATCACACTTCCATCGGAGCCGATGCAACTACTAAGATACATAGAATTCTTGACAACCTCCAGTGTTTTTCAATGTATTCCAAAAAGCATGTTAAGATCTGGAGCGGTAAGCAATGGGGGCACACTAAATTGCGGTGATATGAGCTGACCATTAGAAATTTAATGAAATAAGATAAAGGGTGGGGACTATTAGACAACTCGTATCGGTAGAATGTTGCGCATCAAATACTCAACCTGAATATCAATATGAGGGTCGATATTTAAAACTAATCAATGCAACCTGGGACCGATATCCATTGGGAAGAAGCCAAAGTATTAATTTGCTCCAATCTTCCTGGCTATCTGAATGCATCATATATTTCCGACAACAAACTAGTCTCCTGACGTACATTTCGTAAGACTTGGTCCAAAAATTCCGGCCCACCAGCCTAGAAAGACCGGTGTATCGTTAGGCACACACTTTCATTCGGCGTTTCACCGTACCAATACTAGTCCTCGCATTACTCCGTCCAGCATAGTTAAATACATTGGCCCGCCCCGTGAGACTACTCGGTGACTGATCAGAAAATCTCTTGTCGGATGAATTTTGGTCACATCAGGACTCCACAGCTATACAGTCCTCAACCTACATTGACAAGGGGTTAACTAGTTGCCTACACAGTGAACCAACTCACGCGGTCACCATCCTCGGTGAACAGAACAGCAACCCGACATTTCGTAATGTCTTTCATACCCCTGCAGGTCAAGGGTTGGACACCCCTTTGCTTCCGCCGACCTTGAGTGGCCTCTCAAAACGGCTCAAACGGCAAGCGCGACAAACGGCCTAACCAACGCAGCTTCTGGTGCTGGACACACTCCTCGATGGAAGTCTTCGTTGCACAATCTAACAATTGTTTTCTCATTGCCTCATCCCGGATTCACCAATACCAACCCACAGGTGTCATGTTTCTGAGATGACGATTGTCGAACACCTGAAGATGTCTCAGTTTCACTGCTAGAACAGGCCAAGTCTCACAGACACACAACAAAACAGCTCGTACTGTAGCCCGATACACATGTCCCTTGAGATATACCGTGATGACACTATAGGTGCCTAAAATTATCAAGGGCCACCCGAACCTTGCAGATTCTTGCATTTGCCTCATCTGTCGCACTATAATCGGAACCAACACAACTTCCAAGATAGGTGAAACACTCCACAACTTGGATTTCCTCTCGCTGTATTTCATGAAGGGTGTTCAGTGACTGCAAGTCCAGAAGCATGACTTTAAACTTTGTGTGAAGAGCGCATGCGAAGAGTGCATGCCTTTGACTAGCTCAAAAACACCTGCACCTTCTCCTCTTCGAAGATGAAAGCGGTGTCATCAGCATACTCCAGATCAACAAGATTTTCGTCAACAGCTATCTGGGCATCAGAGTTTTGAAGAACTTCCAGCATCCATCTCATCATTTGGTTGACCACAAAAGTGAATAGATAGGGAGAGAGTACTTACCCCTGACGGAGACCACTTAATGTACGGAAGATCTTGGAGAGCTCTCCATACATCCTTATACGTCCGCAAGTCTGAGAATACAAAGAACTTATTATGTTCATATTATGTTCGCATTCCTGGATAGGCAACCATGTCAAGGAGAACAGACTCGTCAACGGAGTCCACTGAGCCTTGAGAATCTAGGACTACTGAAATTGTGAATCTTCATACGTGTAAGGTACGTAAGTATTCAAAGCGGTCAGGGATTCAAAATCTACTGTCCAGGGCTGCATTGCAGGTCAAGAATCCGGCTGAGCAACTGCAGATGGCCAGCTGAGTTGTTGTTGGAAGTGTTCAACCCAACGACTCAAGCAGTGTTCTTTTTCGGAGATGGGTGAGCCGCTGTTATCAGTGATTCGTTCGCTCACCTGAAGCCTTCTTGGGCCTGTTGAACGCATAAGCTAGAACACATTTCGGACACGGCCATTTTCTCGTTTCCTGCCTCTGTTGGGCTTTGTGGATCCACGAACCTTCTGGATCCGCGGAGGAACTATTTTCAGCTGAAGTCTGACAATGCGTCGAATGGTATTGTATTCTCGATTAGGTGTAATGCGTGTCCGAGCTTATGGAAATTTTAAGGTGTCCCCTGAAATCCACTAGATGGTTGCGCCATCCAAAAAGCGCGGCACCCAGGGTCATGGACAGCACCTTTCTGTAAGAAAGCAGAAGAGACTTCAGTAGGTGGTTCTGCAGGACTTATTTCACATCAGGGTCCGAGAGTTTCTCAGTGGCCGAATGAAATGTGCGCACCTTGCGCATCTCAGAGAACAAACAGAAGCAACAACGAACAAGCGCGTGGTATGAATCCACACAGGTGTTCCATAACACGCAACAATCAAAAGTTCACTCACGCCACCAAAAACTAATGGTGATGTGGTCTATCTGTGTTCGAGGCTGGCTCGAATATCGGGGAACATTTTGTGGCCAAGCAGCTTCACTTGTTTCAGAAGTTAGTACTGCGCAAAGTCTGTGGCCAGTACATAACTGCTGCAGCCAACCGTTCATTATTGTCCGTGCGTACCAATTCCAGTTCAATACGACCGCATAATTGAGCATCAACAGCGTAGTCCACCTACTTGTCCAATAGCATCCGCAACAACCTCAGCTCTCTGTGAAAATATCAGAGCAACTCTTGTGACGAAAGCAGATGAAATCAACAGTAAACAATTACCAGCGCGTTTACAGGGTATTCTCAAAGACGTTGCAAAACGAACCAGAGAGAGGGGAGTTCATCAACGGGTAACCAATCAATCAAAGACCCTTCAGCTCGGTGACTGCGAGTAACACCGACTCCAGCAGACCCAGTAACAGCGGCTTGCGGATTACCAGAGGTGCACAACCAGAAACGAGTGGAAACTGATGGGAATGTCAGCTAAACAACCGTACTTGGGTCTTGAATCCTCGTTTCAGACAGACATCAAACCAACAGAAAACGAGTTCAGTGTGCATGCGAGAGTAGTTTGCTGTCCGGCTAGTTTCAGAGCGCTAACGTCAAAGGCTGTCTTGTTCAACCAGGTGTCGGGAATTGAAGTATGATTTTGAAATGTTTGTGGCCGTGGCGGCCGAGCCAACCGTATATACTACAGCTAATCGCAACGGGGGCAAACGGATGCCAGTCCTTAGGATGGGTCAACGGAGATGCAGCTGTCAAAGGGATGAGGAGGGGGTGAACGAATATGTGCAAGAGAAAGATCTGTCAGCAAGAGCCTGTTTTCGTTTACCCGTCTTGCTGCTTGCATCAGATAATGCAATCAGCCTGATGGTATCACGCGACGGCGGTTTTGGCATTAGAAGATTTGTAACACGAGATCCTTCTGCAGTACATTTAGTCACAATAACACAAACATCGCAAACAGAAGAGTAATTTACGTTTCTAGTTACCACCAAAGTAGTTTGCAAATGAGTTTGGACACAAATCCAGGGAAGGACGCAAACCACGACTGACAACTAGTAATGCGGCATGAAATAATTCTCGTCTTTGAATGCGATTGGCGAATCATGCCTGGGCGTCCAAAAAGATGGACGAAAAGTGTAAACAGAAGGTAGGTGGTTGGACGGTTACATAACCGTCATTAGCCAAAAACATGGTTATATGGCGGAACCACTCTATATTTGCACAATCAGGACCGGTTTTGATGGTGCAAATAACCACCTCGGTAACCACCACTGTAACAGGTGGCTATTAGACGGTTGTATATCCGTCATGTAACCGAAAAACTCGGGTTTTGGGACTGCGTGTGCTGCTAGGATTGCTGCGTGTTGGACCCTTGGATGCGTACTTACCCTCTTTGCATGAGAATCGGTTGTTTTAGGGCTACGAATCACCACTCGGTGTACGAATGCAACCCGACCTGAATGAGCAGCGTGTTGTAGTATACGATGTCAGTTTGATTGATTTATATGTAAGTATTGGTGGCGTACAACCTTGCTTACTGGGCTTTGGCTCATGAGCTTTGTTTCTGTTTTCTATCGACATAAATTGTCGTGAACACCTGCTCTCGGAGAATAACTGTCCCCTGGTGCTTCCATAGCGTGCACACTAGTGCCGACTTCAGGAATATGTTATCGTTTCATCCGTGATTGGATGACCACAACGGTGAAACTTAAGGTCGCCACGCTTTCTCAGAGTAGAAAAATTGAAGCCAGACTTCCATTGGATACTTCTGGATGTAGACCTGTCTCTGAGTGACATTCCATTGGACACATCATAAACACCAAACCGGTCGAGGTATTCGAAATAGTAGTGTTAGGCTGTAAATCAGGTAACCATTTTCGCAAGGAATTGAGTAGCTGAAAAGCATTAACTCACCGGTTAGTGTCCGAAACAGCACACGCATTCGAGAGTAACCGAAAATAACGAAGACACCGACGACTGATCCAGCACATGCCAGGAATACAGGGTTTCGACTCCATCGACACAAGTTAGTAAGCCCTATGAAATGTACTATTGTGTATTTAAACTCCTACCTGTTGACTGTAATGATAAGAGGAAATCAGGGGGTGGTTTCGACAGGAGATTTAACCCACTCATCGACAGGCATTCGCCTGACGGGGCGAAGCGCACAGGACGTCGAAACTTCCCTCCTGATTGGTTGATAAAATCTGCGTCTCAGTTTTTCAATGACGCAGAGTTTCACGGATTTCACGGCATTCTGAAGGACAAGTAAGCCTAACTTTTGTATTGTTCTGTCTCTGGACCTCTCCGCAGCAGGTTCGTTGGGCTCGTACGTGACAATAAAGGCGTTGGAAATTGGTGGCAGTTCGATTTTCATCCTTCACGGTATTTGAGAAGGCTTAAAAAGAATACGTGAATGAGGACTATGTGGTACTTAAGCCTGAAGCGGGTAATCGAAGCATCCGCGATGTTTTGTTACTAGTGTGTGCATTACGAAGGCTTCGAGGAGCCTGTAAAACTGGCGATCGACTCCCGGAAAATCGGAGGCTGAACGACAGGAGGTCGGGCATCTGCAGGGACCTGCTGAAAAACGGAACGCCGAGTTAAGTGTGGTTTCACTTTATATGAGCGTGGCACCTGGACGAGAAGCATTAGGAAAATATGCTAATAACAGGAGATATCTGAATATTAGGCTGCACGCCATATATGACGTGGCATTGCGGGGTGGGTTAAGTAAGAGAAGTTAAGCATAATTAACAGGCGGTGGGGTTGGTGGTGAGACATGAGTGAAGGCCAAAAGGATAAGAGTGCAGAGAAGGCGGTATATGCCGCGTTTATGGGCCATGAGAAAATCACGCATCTAGGAGTGCATTACAGAATGGGACAACTATGGCTTCGCCGGATTACCTGAAGCTGTGGCCTGTGAGGTTGTATTGAAAAAAGGCTAAAAATTGTTTCGTCGTCCCGAATAAAAAGAGGTCTTGCGCGTATAGACATTGTAGAAGTCTATGGCGTTCGAAGCAGAAGTCCAGCTCCAGGCTTCAGGAGTTTTGCGGGGCGCAGCGACGTGACGGAATGTAAACTGCCAAGCCAAGCGGTGGCATACAGAAATTTTCTGTGGGCATGTGCTTATTGGGTTGTGTGGCGTATGCTGCGTTTTCAAATGTGAGAAACTTTGGCTTTTGTTCTAATTGTGTTGGTAAGAGCCAGGCAAGACGGAGCACACCTCATTAAACAGAGCGGTTGGAGTCGTCCGAGACAGGTACCTAGGCGGAAGGAACTTGGTATAAGATGACTCTGGAAGAAGACGGGTCGGTAACAGAGCCCACCCTGAACAAGCAGAGATTTCAGGTAAATCTGACTTCAGGCAAGCCTGAAAGGTAACAGAGTAACAAAGATATGGTTTTATTTATGTATTTTATTTTTTCATTCACTCACTATACCGTCGCAAAACTCAGAGGTAATTTGGACCCAACTCATGATGGAGATCAAGGGATAGTTGAATACTATCTAGGACGGCTGCGGCTTCACACCTAGGGAAGTTACCCAGGGGCTGCGAAAGTTTGCGCTAATGTGTGGTATTTTGAAGTCGATCAAGAAGAGTGTTCCACATGCGAGTGTAGTAAACTAGGAAAAAGTTGTGACCCGGGTTTGCACGCGCTGCAGGGTACTCTCGGAGATTGCTGGGTTTACAGAATTTCTAGCGAGTATATGATTTCACACTTGGCTCATCCTCTGCTATAGAGGCACTTCGGTTCAACAGACGGCAAAGGAGAGTTAGGTCTAGGTTAACCAGTCTCAGCCATAATAGCTCAAGGCCCAGGATTATATAACGAGAGCGGTGAGAGGGAACGTTTTGACTAATGACCGTTGGACGTTCTCAGGTGCCAGTCTGCAATTTTGGGTAGGAGGCAGTTTAATTGTTTCCACTTGATGTTTCCCGGCTATATTGCCGGGCACAACATGTTACTCATATCAATTTGGGCGGCGTGCTACGCTTTAACTTTTTAAGCCTGGAAAATTGAACCTTCACGATAGACTTTTAGCAGCTTCCGCCATTCGTATGGATGGGTACTGTAGTCATACTACAAAAATTTACAGCAGGAAAGCAAACTTTCTGCCGGAAGACAGTAGCCTCATTTAAAAATTGGGACTAGTTGCCTGGCCACAACGTCGCCTGAGATACAAACTCATCTTTACGATGTAGTCATCTAATTTCAGTAGAATCGGCAACGGTCGTGTGAGCTCACAACCTACTGTGTGATTAAAAGCTAATTTTATGGATTTTCAAGCAGCCCTTTATCTGTAACGTATCACATGAATCCAAGCACAAGACTGCGCACTCAGTTTCTGTGAGCAGCCACAGTTGACCTGTGTACATAGATCGTCAGCGCACTTTGTGTTAGCTTCCCGGTCACGGGTCCTCGTCGGTCCCTTCCATTACTAGATACATGTAAGTAGCATTCAAATAAAACTCCGAATGCCCTTGAAGATGTATATGGAACCATGATTTTCTGCCACAGCATTGCAAGAAGCATTCGGTTAAAATTGCCACCATGCTTCTGTATTTTGCACCGGATCTCCCAGTGTATTAGTGCAGTCCCCAGCCTTGGTGTGGCTGCCCTTTTGTCGAGCCTGAATGGTTGCGACGAAACTTGCTGCCCCCTGAGTGATCCAGAGGTTTTCCGGTGTATTCTTCCTCCTCAGTTTCTTGGACAGTCGTAACCATCCTAATGACGTCAACTGATTTGCCTAATGCCTCCACGTATAGAGCTATCCACCAACACGAATGCGACATCGCAATGAAAGTGTGACGACTGCCATCTCTACTACGATAGATTGCCTATTGTTTACCATACTTATACTTTGTTGCCAAGTGTCACATGAGCACACAAGGCCACCCTCAGGCGCCTGTTCTCTCGGCGTTTCGAACTGTCACTCAAGTATTTCCTTCCATTCAAGTAAACAATGTTTCACAATCAACCCCCTCTGTACAACCGATTACCTGAATGTTTACTTTGCTAACTGCTACTTGTCTCTTCCCTCGGAGTCAAGCTTGTAGGCCCTGTCTCACATTCCACAGCTTCACATTACAGTAGCCATGTATCTCTCCCATTCTTCAAACCCTTAAAAGCTCCATCGCACCGGAGTCAATAACATGCCATCCCACCTTCTGAGATATGGTGGCCAAGACGCGTCGACTCTTGGCAGATATTTGCTGAATTCTCCGGACCACATCTGGGAGAAGCGAAGGTTTTTACATAAATGTGTTGCGTTTTTTGTCTGCATGCGGCAGGTAATCGGAGCACCGGAGCTATTTTGCTTTACGATGAGTTATACCACAAATGCAACAGGCGGCCAGCAGAAAAACAAGCGATCGGAAGTGGTCAGGAAGTTGAACATATTTTCTAATAAGAAACAATACAAGAGGAACTGACTGTTCAGCTTCCTTGTTTTCTAGGATGCATTGGAACCATACCGTAGTCAGCTCTTATTATTTGGAACAACATCAATGGGCTCCGAAAGCTTGTGCGATCGACTTTTGGTGACTTGACGGCTTACCAAAGAGGGTTTGTCACCTGTATCGCCATGCTAAAGTATGGAGCTCCAACGCACGGTGCTTAGATTTTAGCCGATGAAATCATCGCGGTGCATATAATTCAGGACATGTACAATAACCGCCCGAGGCATCAGGCATCCCTATTAAGGATGTGACGGATAACTGGGTCATATTTAAGTTGATAACGTGCTTTGTGTTATGGCAGAGGTTCATAACTCCGAACTACTGCTTGTGATGGAGTCTAGGGAAGGCCACTGAGGCCACTAAGTATTCGGAAGGTTGCATGATTGCTGTTCAGACGCTTTCCACATGCAGTGAATGCTGATGGATCACACGTGACCAACTGATTTTGGCGAGGTTTTTTTTTAAAAGAACCCGTATATGGCTTGTGAATACAGGCTCTACACCTTGTTGATCACAGATAGCAGATGGAACACGGAGGTAGAGGGGTACGCGAAATTTCCCTCCGCACAGTACAATACCATTGGGAGCCATTAAGAACGGGCAAAACTATGATCACAGTGGGGTCGTGTAGCGCCGATTAGAGCTCATTAAACCCTACAGTTTCTTGTGAAGTTTCCTTGCTTTGAACGACGAGTTTGGAGAAACCATGGGTATGCGCCCATGGATCAGCTTCAGGGGTTTGTAGAAAATCCACTCCGCGCACCGGCCATACTAAATCAATTTGAAGCCATTTAAATAGAAATACTAGCATTAATGGTACTGTGACCTCCTCTCGGCGTGTACACGCAACTGACCTAACGGTGAGGATTGATTTGAACTGGAGTACCGTTGCTTCCGAGGGAACCTAATTCTTACTTACGCCCTGTTTGAACAATGCTTGGCAAACAGGTTTTTTACGGTTGACCCAGCAAACACCCGGCGAGGACATGGTAAGAAAATTTTCAAGCTCAGGGCACACACATTCATTAGACAAAATTTTTTTCATTTCGGGTAGTAGCTGCGTGGAATGACCTTCGACGGTTTTACACGCTCCTTCTCGAACCCAATTTAAAGCACTATTAGACATTTATTTATGCGAATCCTCTCGCTGGCGAGCATACTACCCCGCGCTGAGAACATAAAGAGCAGTGCTACACCCTTTTTCCACTTGTGCCTTTCAGGTGAACGATAGCCACTGACGGACAAGAACAAAGCCGACCCGGGAAACTTGGGCAAAAGCCTCGATCCTGTGTATCAATCCGTGAATCCGTGACGACGTTGTCATTCGACAGATTCCATAGGTCGTACCGGAATGGCACGTGATCAGCTGTCGACCAATCAATAGTCGAAGTTTTGCTGGGTCCGCCGCAGAGCGACCTCTTTCGACCGATTTCTTTGGGGTTCCTTCAAAGTTTGTGTCTGATTTCATGTCCACGTTGAGCTTGAGTAGAGCGGGTGCGTGCGTCTTTCTTCACCAGGTCCTTTTTCCTTTGACCGGCTTATACCATCGCGGGTACGCGAGTTGGAATCTTTTTTGAAGTTTTGGGGTACGAATGCCAGGCTTCTCGGCGCCACAGAGCAGGAGTCGCTGGACTTTTGCCTTACTTCGAATGACGAATATTGCACGCATATGTCCCTCGGAGGAGACTCAGGGAACAGGGAAACTTGGCAAAAGCCTCGATCCTGTGTATCAATCCGTGAATCCGTGACGACGTTGTCATTCGACAGATTCCATAGGTCGTACCGGAATGGCACGTGATCAGCTGTCGACCAATCAATAGTCGAAGTTTTGCTGGGTCCGCCGCAGAGCGACCTCTTTCGACCGATTTCTTTGGGGTTCCTTCAAAGTTTGTGTCTGATTTCATGTCCACGTTGAGCTTGAGTAGAGCGGGTGCGTGCGTCTTTCTTCACCAGGTCCTTTTTCCTTTGACCGGCTTATACCATCGCGGGTACGCGAGTTGGAATCTTTTTTGAAGTTTTGGGGTACGAATGCCAGGCTTCTCGGCGCCACAGAGCAGGAGTCGCTGGACTTTTGCCTTACTTCGAATGACGAATATTGCACGCATATGTCCCTCGGAGGAGACTCAGGGAACACCGTCGTGTATGGTGAGAACGGTCCAAAAGACACTGTGAAGAAATACCAGGAAGGATTTAGGTATCTGTTTTTCGTTGAGCATGTCCTTCTCACCCCATCATGAAAAACTGGCTCAGAAGGCTTTCCTCTCTTCTTGATACTCGTATTGACTTCCAGAGTTTGTGGTGCTTATTTCAGACCGCTTCTTGGCTACTCAGACCAAGTTGTCTTCTCAAAACTAAAAGGACGACTTAACATATGTTGAGCGCGCCCAACGAGCTGCTACGAAGATGATTATTGGAGTAAAATCTGTTGATTCAGAAACGGGTCTCTAGTTGCTTGGACTCTTTCTTCTAGACTGTTGTTGCCTCTGATGAGACCTAACACGTGTGCCTTGTTCGAACATAGCCTGGATGACAGGTTCTTCACGTTTGACCCAAATAAAACACGGCTAAAAACTGGTGAGGTGCTCAAGCTCAGATTTCACACTTTTATCCGACAGCAACTGTTCTCATTTTGGGTAGTTTGTGCATGGAATAACCTTCCAGAGACAGTTGTTCATGTTCCCTTCAAAACCTAGTTTTAAGCAGTTTGAGATGTTTCCTTCGCACGTACGAGCACTGAAAAGCTTACTCCCTAGTGGCGAAAACCTGATGGTAAGGTCTAGTCCCAATCTAACGAAGCCTTGAGGTGTAACTTCCGACTGCAATGCCCTGATATCACCTGCAAACAGTAAGCGTGATGAGTTAAATGTCTAGGAATGTCCGTTTATGCACAGCTTAAATAGTCGCGGACGGAGTACGGTCCTTTGTTAGACACTTCTCATCTTAAGCGGTGGTCAATGGGCTCCGTTCGTCCTAACGATGAAGTACCGATGTTTTGGCAATTCTGCCATCTGAACCACTAAGATCATTAAAAAACTTTGTTTTTTTGAGCATTTGGACCAAGAGGCCTCTTACGCGGTCCTTAAATATGACAAATCTGAAGTGTCAGGTCTGCGGCTTGCTCCTCTTTTCCGTTAGTATCACAAGTTTACTTACCCGCTTGGATTTAACAATTGCACTGTTGCGCTTGTGGTTTGGCAGTATACTTTTGATCTCTCTTCATGAGCTTGGCAATCACTGATGTAGGTATAGCGGTTTATAATTTAGCGAGCGGTGTTTTCACTACTACCAGGTGGTCTGATGTTATCCGTCCAGTAGCGATGCAGAATACCTTCTCGTAATGATAATTTCTGACGAGATGGCTGCAGGTGCAATCAATACCGTTGGGAGGTGGTTGAAAATGAACGATTGCAGTGCATCCGGTCTCGCATCCTTATTTATGTTTGGCCTTTGTCAGAACACTTCTGAATTACTTTACAGAGGGACATTCTGTTAGTGTGGGAACCGTGAAGGGTAGGTGCGCTTGCTCCCTAGATTGAATTGAAGTAGGCTATCCGGGAAGGAGGTTTGCTCTTGATTAGTCACCGCTGTTCCCATTGACGCAATCTGGGAGTCCGTCCGAACGGCAAAGGTGAGGATCGGTGTGGATGGAAATTCTCTGTCGTTATTTACCTGTACGCGATTTCACTCAGCCCTATGTTTCATTTTCGTGTTCCACTGGCAATCGTTGTGTTTGCTAGATGAGTAAAATAACGGCACTGTCTGTTGTATTTCGATAGAACTGTGGCTTGCGAATGGTTGAGGCTACTCTATTCAGAGGGCTAAACTGCTCACACTGCGTCCATAGAATGTTGATGGTTGGGAGCTGTTGTGGGGATTGTTGACACGTCCCCGCCAAAAAAACATGACTTTACCGTACTATGACCAATTGTGCCCCTCCACTACCCATTTAGATATATTAGGGGTGTCCGGGCAACACTCGCATAGTACCTCATACCGATTTGGTCACGTATTAGACTAAATCAGTTGCCTGGTCTTCTAAGTCGGAGTTTGGAACATGTGTAGCGACTGGTTCTTCTGAAAAATATAGTGCGCTGACACTTCACACCAAGCGGCACTGTCTTGTGATTAGGCTTTTAAACCAAAGCTTTGATTGAGGTGCTTGATTGTCCTGTTCAGGTCTTGGGCACCATACCACTATGCCAGGCCGCGTACAGCAATGAACACCAGCTAAAAGCACTGTCATGTCAAATCGGCCTTCGTGTGGTGTCGTCAGCCGTGTTGCCTTACTCGCTGCATACAGCAGGTCGGGTAAATGAAAACACGCTACTTCTAAACCATCTCTTGTTTCCTGTTCACATGATTTTTCTTCCCTCTCTGTATACCCCAATAATGGCACTCTCATTGTAGACCCACCCGTTAGGACTGACGATCCCGTTCGTCTTGCATCGGTCTTGACCGCAGCGTTGGCCGCTCACTCGAAACTGACAGACTCATGTATCTCGAAATCAATCTTGAGTCCTTAACGGCCGGTCTCTCTGGCTTCCCTAATTTTTCCATATCGAAGCAAGCAAGACTACAGACTGCTCTTGCCCGCACTTTGGACTCGCTTCGAATCGACGTGCTACTTATTGGAATCAAGAATTTTGAATCCAAGAGCCACTGAGCTAACTGTCCCAGCATTCTCCATCCGTTTTGCGGCTGCCGAACTCTGGCGATCCAGCGGCCGCTGCGGCGGAATATGGAGTAACCGACATCGTTCTTAATCACCGTGCTGGCTTGTTTGGATTTCCGGTTAATCAATGTCAGTGGCGTTTCAGATTATCTGACTCAGTATTGGATGAATAGGCACCTCCGATCTTTGTTATAGGTTAGCCCTAGATCCCCCTTTCTGCCCCATATCTTTCTTTCTTTCTGTTACAGGATTTTACTGAAGTAAATTGACATGGTTGTAGGACATTCTCATCTAATGTTTCTGGCAATGATAATGATGGATTCTCGTTGAAAGTCGCTTCCGCGGTTCATTTGATAACGCCTGTGAGGAAATTTCACAGGTTCGATGTTTATTGTTGTCTGTTTGTCGTGTCTAATTGCGCGTCAGCCGACTAGCTCTGATGCCATTCAGTACAACTTTTATGATGCCCTGAATGCTCTATCACTTTGGACCAAAAGTTCAGTTATTGTGGGTGCTGGATATTTGAATGCACAAATGGGTGTACTCAGCGCGCCTGAGACTCAAAAGGTGGTCCGTTTGGATTACAGCCGGTACGTACGGGCAACGGCGAATAACTGGTCTTAGACCGCCTTTATACAGTACTAACGTTCGGACTTATCGAGGGATCGGACTGACGTTTGGTCATGCGTGCACGGAGTGCCTTGGATGTCTGGCCTCTATCTAAAAGACGTAGGAACTGGACTTCCCCCGCTACCTCTCAGTAAGCTACCGACCTAACACACGGCCCCATTGCGTTGCGAATTATGTCATCCGTCAAAAACACCCACTGGTGCTCCTAAGTCAATCCTTCTTGGGAAACTGGAAAGCAGCCGCTTGAATGTGTGTGTGTTCGCTCCCACTGGACTTCTGGTGTGCCGGGTGTCGTTCTACATCACTCATTTTAGAACTTTCTGAATTTAAATACACCTTCTTAGTTTAGAGTTTCTGACAATGGACAGAGTCCAAAGCAGCTTTCACACTGAGAAAAACGACCAACGCTAGATGTTTGGAAGAGTGGCGTTGTTCAAGGACTTAACTCAGGGCGAAGGTGTGGTTGTTGATTAATGGTTCGGTCGGGGTGGCTTTTGCCCAAAAGGAGGAAAATGGGAATCACAGAATAGACTCCATCCCAATGGTGGTCGTTCCAAATCTTTGTTAATTGGGTCGTCAGACTGCTCCTCAGGGCTTCACTATCGTGCGGGCTACCGGGTCGGTTGCCTTATCCCGCTGGAGAAATGATATCTCGCACTGGGTTTCTCTTGCTGAAGGGGCGCTGGTTTTGATGTTCCATTTAGTCTTGCTGGGTTATCCCAGAGGTTGTGTTGAAGGAGGTCGCTTGAACGACTGCTTTGAGTGTTCGGCCCATCGTTCAATGCCCACGATTTCGTGAGTAAATCGCCGTTCCATCTTTTTTCGCATATTGTTTCCCTGATGGTGTCTTTTGGCCAAATCGAATCAACAGACGCCGGGCGCGTTTGTTGCTTGTAGCGAAAGCCTTCTCCATCTCATGGGACTTCGCAGTCCACCAGCATTCTCTGTGATTTTTCGAGTCGATTATGTGTTTCGAGGGATCTATGTCCGCTATCGTAGTCGCCAGTTGCTTGTACGGCTTTTCTGGCAGCAATAAAATCTGCTTATCGCATTAATATTTTTAGTGTTCATTTAGTCGATTCGGATGGCTTGGACAGATAATTCTGTAAACCATGAGAATAGCTTTAACTAGCTACCATGAAACCTCCAGTCGCTTTTCGCCTTTAGCATGGCTATGCGTTTCCCCTAGCTTGCTAGCCAGATCAGCTCGATACTTCTGAGCCGCTGAAACTCATCGAAGTTTCTCTACAGAGTTGTCCTGCGTTGTCACGCGTAATGCTGCCGGAGAGTGAAATGATGACCGAGCCCGCATAATGGCATGATCACAGGCAAGCTATGTACCTTATAAGGAACCGCAATCTTTAGTTGAGGCTGTCTGTCGCAACTGATAGCCGTATGGTGCAAATGAATCCATAGGTGTCTTGAGGTTGATGGTCCCAAGTAACTCGATGTGAGCGCTTATACTGGGAGTCATACTGGCCAGGAACAGGCGATCATCAGCACACAACCGAAGTAATCGCTTCCCATTATCCATATGCTGTTCATCACCAGATCTACCACGCAACTTTGCTTCTTTTGAACCTGGTCATCCATCCGTTCATATCACCCACCACGACGATTATATCCGTCCTTCCTGGCCGAAGTGCTCATGAAAAATCTAGATAAAATCCGCCCTCAGATCGAAAACTGCAGTTTGTCGGGACGTATGCTGACATAAGAACAAACCTCATTTACCCCATAGACCCGAATCGATCTTAACTTAACCAAGCACATGTATAGAGCAAAGGCGACTGTTTACTAGAATCCAGTCCACTAAAGCACTTTTAGCCTTGGGCTGAGTGCAGCATATAGATCACAAGCAATTTGGTGAGGATCACCATACAACCGAAGAGTGCAATTTGGAACATCGGAGCTCGTTCTAGGTGACTTGGAATGCATCACCGTGGTAGGGTCCCGAATGCGTGTTTCGCAGGCACAATATAAATCGTTAAAAAAGAAAAGTAGGGTTTGAGCAAGAGACGCCAGTTGGACAGACGGACATTGAAGGCCTCAACGTGGACCAGATCTTTGGAGTTTAGTGAGGGTTTGTGTAGTTTTGTTATGTTGAGCGATGGCGCAGACTCAGAACGATGTTTGCGAAGCTGGTATATGGGTCGACTCCAGTGCATCATTCGATGGTTCGAGAGGTGGTTTGGGCGAGTGCCTGTGCAATAAGAGCTGCAAGGGCGAATGACAATTTCCGTTTGTCAGCGCCAAGTATGGGATCGTGGTTAAGCCTTCGGCTGAAACGTATGACTCAACGGGCAGCGGGAGAATATAGGGTTATGTTCGAAGACCCTTTCCCTAACCTCAAAAGTTTGAACTACGAGACAACAGTTTTTTTTCGGTTTTCGTGATGGACCTTTCCTGGAAACCAAGACTCACTTAGCTTTAGGGTCTGACCTGGCCCGACGGTTTAGGGACTAAGGCACAATGTGGTTGTACAATTCGGGTGCATTCTGAGCAGCACCAAACCATTTGGTTTTACAAATGTATTTCAACCGTATTGAATAATTCACTGGCGATCTCGGTCAGCCATTGTTGTAACTTTCTGACGGTAGTGCAACTTCTGTGTCGGTCTTTGGCTTCCTGCTCCGTCCTCTATGGTACATCAAAAGGCACGGTAGCTCGAGACAACCCCTTATAGAGACAAAGATTATTACGACCGCATTTATGGGATCATCACATAATGTTCCGCAAGATCGCATTAGAATCTTCGTGAGGGACCGCGAAGCATCAAGCTACAGGTGCTCGATCCAGATTGATCAATTAAAGCATGCACTCCGTATCCCGTACGTGACATATCCGTCCAATCGAAGTGATGTTCGGTTGTTAGGATCACCCGGCCTCCGGAGAGCTGTCGCGCGATCGGTGTGTGCTAACCTTGGGGACAACCTTTTCTCACCGGTCCTTTCCTGAGGGAAGGCATTATCACTGTCTGTATCAATTATGTTGGTGGCACCAATCAAACGCCATATCGCCTTCACACTGCACGACTTTACCTCCAGACCGCCTCAGTACGGTTTCTTGCCGTACGAGGACTCACTGTTCGTCGGACTGCTCATCTTTGGCCTTCCCGGTATGTTTCAAGCTTACGGAACTGAGTTTCATCCAGTGTGACCCAAAAGGTCCGTGCAGTACCAAAACCTGACCGCCAACACGAGGTGGCACATTAAATCTAAGATACTTTTCACTAGTTGTTGGAATCTTGGTAATCTACTTGACGCTTCCACCTGAGGGATCTTCAAGGACATCCATGACGACCATCGACCAGATACCAACCGTCTTTCACGCCCCCTAATTCTGGTGCACAATGAATATGTGGGGACAGTTTGTTCATAAAGGCAACAATAGCCTCTATCATCAAGTCAGTCGGTTGTCTCACGCTACGGCGAAAAGACACTCGAGCACATTACATCTCATACTGACCGGACATGGCATCAAATATGGATTTTGGCAGGCTTTCCAGGCTCGTTCGGGTGTCCTCAAAAATCTCCGGTCTCAGCTGAATTTTTTATCTGGACCAAATAAAAGGTCTCCAAACAAGCATGACAAGATGATGAACCAGTAAATGGAATACTTTAAATGACTTGAACCACTCGCCAACTGAAACCTCGGAATCAGTCCAGCCTCAATGCATTATCACTTCAACTGTGAAGAATCCGACTTCTGCCTCTCGACTACGCGACATCTGCAGCTAGGTACCGAAAGATGCTACAGCTGAACGCTTTCTTTCTACCGAAAGATGTACAGCTGAACGCTTTCTTTCTATGGGATGGATCTGTAAACATACCTGCGAAGCACTGTTGACAATTATCAACTGTCCTGAGTAGGATGGTATTACAATGGACACCAGCTTTGCATAAATCAACGAGCTTCCGGTATCAGTCGTCAATTCCTTTGTGTTTCACTATAGTACCACAACTCCTTTTCTTAGTACCGTACAATAATTTCCACCTGAAGCCGCTCAAGACGAATCATCAGGGTTGCCATGGCTAAACCGGTGGTGGTACAGGTGTTGCAGGGACATTGTTTCGTATGTTTGGAACCGAGGTTTATATAAGTTAACTTAAATTCACCTCGGTTCGAAACATAGAAAACGCTGTCTACACATGCCCTCATCATCATCATCGACAGCATGACGTCATTGTTCAACACCGATGCTTCACTGCCGTACAACCATAACTTATTTGAAAACCTTATTGTAAAGAAAAGAATAAAGGTGGATGGGGGAGGGACTTAGTGCTAGCTTAACACAATCATTCCGAGGGGCCTACACCTCCAGACATTCACTCAGGCAATCTGGACAGAAACTGACAACAAGAACGCCACGGACATCGGTTGGCAGCCATATCTTGTAGTGTCTCCAACCAGGCACAGTGAGGATCACGCGGTCCCCATCCTGGAAGGCGAGTAGCACCGACAGCAACCAAGCGTTTCGTGATCTCCTTCATACTCCTCTGCCA